TAAAAATCATAACTAAACCATGTTAAATTTTTCTTCATTAAATATATTACTTTCTGTTAATATTATTTATTGATCATCCACAATTTTTTTATATTTGTTATTTTTTTATGGCACTTATATCTATAAGTTTTCACAATACCCTTACCACATTCCGTTTTTAGTATAAATACAGTTACCTCAAAGGCTTGTTCGTTATATTTAATTAAAACAATTTTCATTTATATTGTTAAAGTCGTAAATTTAAAATTCAAGCAGCATTTTTCGATTTCTTCATTCATTGCGGTCGGCTTGACGTTCATTTTACGAAACTGTAAAAAATCGCATTTTTAAGGAGTGCCTCACCGTTTATATTCACTTGTTCCACTTTTTGTTTGTGATGAACGATTTTGCGATTGTCATAAAATGTTGTCGTTTTACAAAATCGTTAAAATATTTAAAAGCAACGTCCTGAAATAACTAATTGCAGCAATAAAAACAACGTAAGAAGCATTTTTGGCTTGGTTACTGGAAGAACACAATTTAATTTCTGAAATATTGCTCTGTTATCTTTAATTAAGTTTGGTTGTATTATTTATGTATTTACGTTAATTGAAGAATATCTTTTATGCACTTTACCTGTCCGATAAATACAATTTACAGTTAGTAATAATTTAAGAACGTTATTAAGAAAGCTATTAACCCTTTATAGGGCAGAATCCATTAATTGTTATTTTTATTTTTTTTTTGGTAATACCTACCTATTTTGGATGTCTTAAGTTATTTTAATGATTATTTTGAAAATCCAACTGTTTTTTTTTAATTTATCATGGTGGATAAAATGGAAACCACTGCCCATAAGATGATAGATGGGCGGTGGTCTAAATGCAAACCACATATTTAATTTAATCGTTTTTTTTGCGTTTCTGAAAGGATTTTAGGTTTTTTTTTCAGGACCAGGTAAAATAATTACATGGTGTATGCTATAAAAAAGCAAATATTTATTTCCAAATTGTTTACTGTCATTATTCTTATCTGGAAACGGTTTTAGTAAATTTCAATTTCTCAAAGTTTCTTCATTGTTTGATTCTACCTACTCTTGTGTTTGTGAGTAAGTTATAGTGTCATTTCTGTGATGCATATTTTTATTTTTATTTTCACTGGTCAAATTAGAAAATGACCTACGTAGAAAACTACCAGTAGTACTACTGGTAGTTTTCTCCGAATCTGATGAGTAATCGCGATACTGAGTCATCTGAAAGAACATCTGCATCAGAGTCACTTTCACCCCCAAATCTATTCAAAATTTGTTTTCTGAAATGTATACTGGATGTTCGCTCACTACGATTACGTAGGCTGGATCGTGCTGAAGTATTGGCAAAAGTTACTTGTAAACATGAAGATGTACTTGGTGAATAGTACTAAGGGACTCTTGATGGGTGGTCGCTCTCAATCTCCGAATCCATAGCCTGATCTTCGGTTATACCAACAACTAGATAAAATAGTTTACTTGAATCCAATTTTTCAAAAAAACAAAAAATACTGGACATGGATTCAATAGTCTCACGGTATGTGAGCTTGATAGAGGTTATGTTCCAAAACGATCTAAATATTTCGTTAGCGCTAACCTATTTTCCAATTACTATTATCACAAGTTGTAAAGCATTCAATTAACTTTTGAATTATGTGTGTTGTCAGGTAAAACAAACATGCTTATGCTCGCTAGCAGCAACAATTACTGCAAATGTTACTTTTTCGCAATTTTGTGGGAACAGGCAATGGTTAACATAGAGACCACATTGGTTCTAACAATTGCCAAATTTAAATTATGGCCAATATGATAGCCACTGCACATTATGAGTTCATTTATTTGTACTTTGGTCGAAGTTTGGGTTCTCTCTCATTTCTAAGTAAGCTGTAATGGATGTGGTTAACATAGAGACCATTAACCTATAAAGGGTTAATTAATTCCATTAAAAATGGTAATTGATTTTGCGACTTTCAAAAATGGCGAATGCGCCGGGATACCACATTCAATTTAATAATAAATTAAGTTTTGGCGAACAAAGCGTTACCTTATGTGTTGTTTGATTTATAGGTTTTCTCAGAATATTTAGTTAAAAAAACGTTTTAGTAAAAAGGCATGGAATAAAAAAAACTAGGGACATTTTGAAATTGAATTTAAAAATTTTAATTAATTTTAAAATAAAAAGTTTCGTTTTTATTCTGCCTGTATTAAAAACTATGTTTACTAAACCCTACTTATGGGGTATCGTCGCGACTATAGTAAAAAAAAAAAATTGTGCACTATCATTTTTCTATGAAAAAAGTGGGGTTGTTATTTAAGAAAAAATGGTGCGGGCAAAATTATAATTATAAGATTTGAAATAAAAAACTAAAGTTTTCGTTCCCCAACGTTTTTTGTAAAAATCTGCTGTGACTTTATGGCGTTTTAGTCACGGGCTGAAATTAGCAATAGTGGCTTTTGGGCATTTTAGTCACGGGATGAATTATAAATTGAGGAAAAGTGAGGTTAAATCCTTTAAAAGTTGACAGATGTCCAATTTTTAAAAAAATAATTCTTCTTTGTGTTCATCTTAGATAAAGTATAGTATGCAATTCGTTTTATAAACTTCTCTAGGCACTCGTTTTTATTAAACACTCGCTCGCAAACTTCGCTGGTGCCTAATAAAACTCGTAACTAAAATGGCATTTATAATACTTGATACATAATATACTATTATTCCATAAGTGAAAACCACACATATAACTATAATAATTATTATTTCATTATAAAATAATATTATAATATTATACTTATTAGTGGTACGTATATTTTCCAAATAAAAAATAGTAATTTCTTATTAAAGAAACTCAAAAACCAAAATTTCACATTTATTTCTTTAGTCTTTGCCTTTGGTCATTTATAACTATGTAAATACTAAAATATTTCCCAACATCCACACTGTTAAATGGGCTAGAGAGGCTTTGAGTTGCTGCCTTTTAATAGGAGTTTCTTGGTTAACTACTCTAATTAGTCTGTGAAAATAAATAATTAAATCATGTTCATTCTCTTGTACGTCTAAAAAATGGTATTTTATCAAAGCTTTCCAGTGTTAAATTTGTATTCAAAGATGATGAGAGCACGGTCCATAAATAAATTTTCAATAATATTATTTTTCTACTCCTATTGCAAATTATTGGCATTATTTGAGTTTTTTTCGTAAATAATGGTAACCAATATAACCGAACACATTGTTTACGTTGTTAGGCATCAGTGATTGGCTGATTTCAATATTCACTGTTATTAAACCAATCGGGTTTTAAAATGGAAAAAAGTTAGTTTAACAGATGTCAGATTTGTTTATATATACGAGGGGCGACTATAATGATCTTTAAAATCGGGAAAAATTGAGGATATAATACATTTTGTTATCAATGAAAATTACTTAATTGGAGTAGAAAAAGCATAATATTACACTCGAAATAATGCGCATTATTTACTGGGATGATTTACGTCTCTCGCCTAATGGCTCGAGATGCAAACCTCATCCTGCATTATCTCTCGTATAGTTAATAATATACTATGACGTGTTACGTCACCCGATTGTTTTACTTCAATAAAAAGTTTTTCGAAGAGATTTCGCGGTAAAGTATTGAAAATACAAAATTTCTCATTTCTCGTTTATCGCATATACAGGGTCCCAAAATTAACTGTCAGAAAATACATCTGTCAACCATGTTAACTTCAAGTCGTTGTAGTCGCTTTGCTTATTTTGTTTCCTAACAATTGTTTTTATATGTTTCTAAAATCAGCTTTAAAAATACACAGTATTGCCGAGTTTTTTTAAGTTTAAATGCCTAATTACTCGAAAACTAAATAAAAAATTTGGTATCCCAAAAATGGCGTACTAATAAACAAGTACTTTTTGAGATATTAAAGTCTTTAAGTTAAGCACCTGCTAAGGTGTTTTGGGGCTTAATGTAAAATGATTTTTGTCTGTCCTTTGCCATGTTCTTTGCTTCGAAAAAGTTTTATGCAAAGGTTGTTGGTAATACTTTTCTTAACAATTTCGGTAATGGCTATTTTTGACGAGGCTTTCATATTTACAGAGTTAATCAGACTCACCTTCAAACTTTAAGATGGCGGACATCCTTGCGAGTTAATCAAACAAAAGAAAAAAGGCATAGGGTCACCATGGCATCCACTACTTACCCCAAAGTAGTATTATAATTTATAAAAAAAACATAAACATTTTTTTAACGACTTATGTAATACTAAAAACTGTACGCCTATGCAATCCTCATTAATCAATTTTCCGCTAGAACGCGGTACATCTAACAGCAAACATCTTCGGAACGGTATTCAATCCCCAACCGACCATTTTGCGTTGTAAAATTATTTACAGTTACCACAACGCAAGTCGCTTTAGTGGGTCACGCGGCATTTTATGTGCGAATTTACCTTTGGCAGGCCTACGACCATTGCGCTTTACCATCATAATCACTACAGCACACGTAATGAATTAAAATTACCCACCCATTTATTATCATCTTATACGTGAACTTAACCGCTTAAGTATCGGTTATAACGTAGCCAACGATGGATTAATTGGCTTTATTTTGACTTAATAAGCGTTATCGAATTTATAATGGCGGAATTAGTTTCTAGTATGTTATTAATGATACATGGAGTACCTTTAAGGGGAAAACTAATTTGGAGGTGGAGGCAATTTATATCAGACAAAATTATGAGGATTTTACTTAGTCTAACTCTAATAGAGTACATATTTAAATAAAAAAAGTAAATCTTCTTGATAATTTATTTGTTATATTCAAGACAATATACTTCAATCTTCAAAAATTTGACAAGGAAATCTGAAATCTCTCTTAACATTTAAGCCCATAAATATTAAAGTGAGTTTGATTTAATTTGCTAATGTCATTTTTTTTTTGTTTTTTACCATAAATATTAAAGTGAGTTTGATTTAATTTGCTAATGTCATTTTTTCTTTGTTTTTTAGCTGTAAAATTTGGTCGGATGTCGAAGAAACAACGAGAAAAAGTCGAAGATGAAGTGAGGTTCCACAGGGCACAATTACGGGCACAGAGCGATTCAGCACCCGACAGTTCAGTGTTCGAACAACAGACGCCTTCGAGTAGCGACCAATTACATCATAGTTATAATGGAGGGTAAGTATTACACACCCAAAGTATTAATTCTTAAACCAAACTTACACTTTATTCACTCATGTATTCTTCTAAAACTATTGTATACCTACAATTTTAAAAACACAAATAAAATATTATTTTGATAAAACTTAATTTATTTATACTTGTTTTTGTTATGTTTTTAATTTTTTGTTTAACTCAACTTTTTATTTACAAAAATTTTAATTCAAAACAATGGTTTCCAATTTTTCTGACCTAAAAAATTATAATTGAAATTTTAAATGTTTAGTTAATTTTTTTAAATATTTTTATTAAAATCTAGATGTCAAAATGGCCGTTACATAATTTCTCAGATATTTAAATAAATATAAAAAATCTCATCGTTCTTTTATATTCTTTAATTTTTAAACATTTTATAATGTTCTAAAACCATCTTATACCTGTCTAAAATTTCTTGACTCTAAACCACCTTAAAATTATATAAACTGAATTAAATTGTTTTAAAATCATCTTAAAACTTTCTATAATCTTTTAAAACTGTTCAAACTGTAAAAAAATATCCCAAAATTGTATTTTTTATTATTCTCTATTTAAAAGAACATGGGTTTCAAAGTTTTTACAAAAGCATATTTTTTATATTTTTTTAAATAAAAAGAATTGTTTTGAAATATTTTCTTCAAACTTTTAAGAATATAAAAAACAGCATTTTTAACAAAAAACTCATTTAAAATTTTTAAAAATTATCATTTTTTTATTATTTTCTTAAGGTACTATGCTCCACACATCTAAGTCCCACCACGTGACTTTGATATATATAATTAAGTTCTTAAATTAGAACACAAAAATACAAATATTGTATTGTTTTTGAAAAATAAGACGTGAAGCATAGTACAGGGTTTTAAGACCAAAAAAGCATATCTTTTTAATATAAAATTATTATTTTATTCAAACTTATAAGAATATAGAAGAAAACATTAAATGTTTTTTTCTTCTCCCACCTTTAAAACGCCCATTATCGTACATGTTTCCATGACACTAAGTGACTTTTTAAATATACATTTAAAGGTTGTGGCTGAAGTTATCAACAGGGTTTTAGTCACGGGCTGAAGTTAGTTTTAAGTTAGTTGACAGTTGTAAAATAATAATACTAAATGTAAAAATTATTTTATTTTCTCAATACAAAAATACAAAAGTATTAAATAGTTTCGCCAATATTTTAAAAGTTTATATCAACATTGTACTGACCTTTTAAGTTCGCCGGCAGTAAACCAGATTTAACTTTTTTCGGATGGTGACTCCACCGTGGAGTGACAATAAAACATTTTCTTTACTTTTACTGTGAAAATCTGCTTCTATATCAGATTAAACAGATTTTGACAGATACACAAGTTGGTTACTCTAAATCATTTTTAGATAATAATAAGTAGTTTAAAACTTTTGTAGATCCTTTAATTAGCCTAAATTAAATTTGTGTTTATCAAACTTGATACATAATATACTATTTTAATTTTGTATAAAGCTATCATTTAAAATTTAAACTACCTATATTTAAAAAAATATATTAGTATAGTATTCTCGCGGTGGGCAGAATAAGTTATGATAGCTTTAACCGAAATTTAAAAAAAACAACTTTTTTTACTAGGTGAGTATAGATAGTGACTGAAGAAGGAATAAATAAATTTTTTTGGCGGAGTTGTATGCAAAAAAGTGAATTTTTTTGTATAATTTAGACCAAAATTATATTATATTGCCTTGTAAAATTAGTTGTGATCAAAGAAAAAAATCCTTCGTTCAGTCACTAGTCAACCATATCTAGAAAAAGTGTGTGAAATTGTAATAAAATCGGTGTCTTAGTTTTTGAGAATACATGATTTCAAAATTTAAAAAAATCTATTTTTAAGAATTTTTTATCTAATATTACAACATATCAAGAAAGTGTTCCGAAGGTTTAAGTCAATCTGAGTAAAAGTCTAGGAGTTAAATAACCTAAAATCAATTTAATACTGCCTGAAATGTTTTTAAATCATATTACAATAGAACTGTCGAAGATCCCTGTCTTAACTATTCCTTGGACTATCGTTTTCTAAATTCGTAAATAACAAAATAATAATTTATTATGTACCAAGGTTTATAAAACCTTGCGGAATTTTTAATATGCAAGTCGCAATATAAGTTTATAAAACGATTGTCACACTGTGACTAAAACGCAAGTCATAGCTTGTCAATATCACAACATGTACTATGCTCCACACCTCAAAGTCCCACCACGTGACCACGTACGGAACGCAGTCCGTTAAAAATGTATAAATCTTTATAACATTACAATAACAATGGATGGTTTAAGAATTTAAGAATATAAATACTGCATTTAATGAAATTCTAAAGTGTATGGTGCCAAATAAGTAATATTTTTGTGCATTTGGTCCAAATATCTGGTTTTCTCCATACAATAATTTTAACTAAACAGCATTTATTAAAAAAAATCTAGCTTCTCTATTATGGAATAAGAATATCTGTTTAAAGGTAGGTTAATATATTATAACAAAAATATCATCTAATTTTGTAATTTTAAGGTTACAAAAATTTATTTTGACCAAAATAAATAAGTATTTTGGATTATTTAAAAGACTGTATAATATGGTATTTAAAAATGTGGTAGTTTTTCTTATACAGCTTAAAGTGTACCTCCATAAAGTTTTGTCAATACAAATAGTTAAAGAGCTTCGACTGAATTTGATCTACATCCAAAAATCATTATAACTTTAAAAATTTTAATAAATCACATGTCATGGGAGTATTAAATATTTTCACATTGCAAGTTTCTCTAAAAATTGTTTGTTTTCTTATAATCTAACTTAAAGTAGGTATGCCGAGAGGTATGCACAAGTTTTGTCATTAGAAGTATAAAAGCTTCAATCTAATTTGAACCATATTCAACATTTATTTATGACCATATTAGTTAACACACTCTTCCAAATAATTCACTTATTTATTTTAGTCAAAATAGATTTTTGTAACCTTAAAATACAAAATTAGATGATATTTTTTGTTCTTATACATTCCTACCTTTGATACAGATATTCTTATTTCATAATAGAGAAGTTAGATTTTTTTTTAATAAATGCTGTTTAGTTACAACTATTTTATGGAGAAATGTAGACCCAATGCACAAAAATATCACTTATATTGCACCTTACGCTTTGGAATTTCATTAAATGCAGTATTTATATTCCTAAATTCTTAAACCAACCATTGTTATTGTGATACTATAAAGATTTATTAACTTTTAACGCTATAAATATTATTTTTTTCATTGACTATACTTTGACAGATACCAGTGGCGGCTCGTGGGTGTACAGGAGGGTACATAAGGTTAATTTTGTCTAAATACGAATAAATTTCCACGTCACCCGGGAGGTATTATTCTGCGACGCGTTGACCTTTTTTAAAATGGAGCCGATAGCACTACTAAACCAAAAAATAAACTCTAAAAAACAAAACAAACAAAATATCACATCAAAGACTAGTTTTAATCTTAAACTTAAAATATAGTCTTAAAAAAGTTAAAAATAAATAAATTAATCAAAAAATAAAAATAAAACTAAAAAGTCGACCCCTACCTAAGTATTAAAAAATATAAAATACTATACGTCTATCTTTTAAGATTGAAAATTTATCTATTATTTGGTCGTAAAATTGTGGGTCTGCAGTGAGATTTAAAAGTAATTCTAAATTTTCAAACCGCGTCTCTAATTGAAGAATTATGCAATCTATTATTTCAAAATATAAAATTTGCTTAATAAAAACTGCTAAATCTACCTTAGTGTGTTCCCTACAATAATTAAATAAGAAATTTTACTAATCGAGACAAAAACTATAAAAGATCAGCCAAAAGTTTTAAATAATTTAATCTGAATCAAAACAATAACGTGCTCTACAAACGCTAAGAGAAGACTGGCAACCTTCTTTGTCTCCGCTGGCATCCCACCATAAACGGACCACCAATCAGAACAAACCAAGCTAACTAAATATCGCCTCATCTACGGTGTTTATTCGCGAACTTACGGCGATATTTTTGTTGGTGAGTCATTTTCGCTTTCAAGAGGTAAATGGGAGCTTCCGAGGCTGTGAAAATTTCGCCTCTGTCCAAGCGACTTTCAACGATGCACGTTAACTTGACGCGCTTTGCGCCTGGATTTTTATTTACGCTTAGTATGATTGATTGGTTTTTTACTTTTTATTGGGTAGAACTGTTGTAAAAATACACTTGTTATAGGCAAAAATATAAATACAAAAAGTCGTTCGTTCCTTCATTTTAAGGGTGAGGCGCGGCCTCAGAGGCCTACCCTGACGAGCCGCCACTGACAGATACATAATGTGTGTTTTAAAGATGGTAGAAAAGAATCTCTTAAACATAATTTATATTTTTTCTAGGTACACCTACAACAGCGATGTCGGCACATACACCCCAGCGTCGTACTACACGGGCACGACGCAGGTGCAGGCCAACTCGATGGGCTACGACATCTCGGCCGACTACGTGGACAGCACGACGGCTTACGACCCGCGGCCGGGATTGGACGCGCTCAGCGACACCGGCAGCCTCTTGGCCAATGTCGTCACCACAGGTAAAGTACCTACCACGAAATACCGTACCAAATAATTTTACCTACCTATTCGAGTACCTGCTCCACTGTTATGTCTAACCTAATTCTTCGGAAGGGTGCCCCAACTAAGATCTCATTGTAATGTTTTTAAGATATTTTTTAGGGTGTTAATTCGTTTTAACGATTAAGAGTAGTGTTTAGTATATCTTAAAATTTATTAACCATATTGTTTAAAATTAAGACATTGTTGGGACATTTTTTAACTCCTACACTGGTTAACAGCCATTTTGCCACAGGGTGGTCATCAACTTTTGTAAAGTTATTTGTGTGAGCTGATTCCAAAAATTACCATAATTTTGCTTAAGGTAGTATCTTCCTTTAAAGAGTTTAAATTAAATTAAATAAATAACAGTGACAGCAAATTCAGCAGTGCCAATGTAGTAAAAATTAAACATTGTTGTATTTTAATAACTTATTACAAATTAAAGTATTATTAAAAACTCAAAGCAACATAAAAGTAAATAGTAACAATATTACTGTGATATTTTTGTGTTTCTTTAGTTGGGAAAAAGAAATTTAAATTTAAATATAATTTACACATTAATTTAATCACTGTAACTTCAACCCCTTATTTTTTCAAACTATTTACAATTTCGTAAACCAAAAAAATTGTAAAAAATTGTTTTTAACTAATAATTATCAGTCGACAAATTGACTTTATCTTCAGTAAAGTAGTTTATGTGGATAATTCATTATTCCTGTGCTTGCGATCAAACAAAATGGTCAATTTTGGAATCAGCTCACCCAAATTACCATAGAAAAGTTATTGGTCACCCTGTGGCCGGCCCGCCTGTGTTACCATTGTATAAATGTAGCATCTATAGAATGCATATGCATGTAGTGCTTTTAGTGGTAAATGGTATTTTATTTAAAATAGCTTTGTTTACGGTTTTATATTTATATTGTTTTGTATTTAACGTGTGTTACATGTAGTTGCAAAAATGGCGAATGTGCCGGGATTAATATTAAGATTTATTGAGTTTTATGTACCTATGTTTTTTTAACTTATTGTATTATATATTAAATAAAAAATTAAAACAATAATGAAATGTTTTTGGCATTTTAAAATATATTAAGTCAGGGTTGGCATGTTTAAAAAATTATTTTAAACAAACGTATTAAACAAAGTGCTTAAAAACAAATAATAAAACGTTTCCAAAATTCAAACCACTACATTTACCAAATATATATATATATAACTTAAAAAAGTGTTTAAATGAAAAACTGTTTAAAAAAAAACACATGTTTATGTTTTTGTTTAAAAAAAAACATGTTTTTTGCCAACCCTGTATTAGTTATACTTGAAACATTTTTTTATTGTGAATGGAAAAACACCTTAGTTGTATAAAGTAAATAAAAACATTGTTTTCTCTTATATTTGTTTCATGAAAACACCTAAAAAATTTTACTAAAAATTCTTTATTTATATTTAAAAGTAAAAAAATTATATAATAAATTAATACTAGTATATTATCATATGAGAGATAATACAAGTACTATACTTTTTTTACTACGATTTAATAATTTTCAAAATAAATAAATAAACTCTGATATGTAAGACAGTTCTTTACTTTCTCCAATTTCTAAAAATCATTATAGAAGCTCCTCATATAATATCAAAAAACCATAATCTCTCCCAATTTAAAGCCTGATTAGTTCAAATCACAGTAAATAATAAAATCACCTAATCGCTGACGCCTAAGAATTAGAATAATGAGTTTGAGTCAAAAAATCATTCGAAAGGACCATACAAATTTCGCGCATGAAATGCATTCAATATTTTTCTACAACTCTATTGAAATATTTCATATGATAGGATAAATATTCTATTTTTGTTACATTACGATTTGTAATATTATAGTTGCCAATTTACTTTGTTTATTAACACCCTAGTTCGCCAATGTTACATTTTTTTTAATATATCGCGCACCGATAAAGCAAACAAACCTGATATCCGGATATTAATAATCTATTTTTGCGGTTGTACAAAAAACATATTTTTACATATCAAGTTACAAATTACAAATTTATACATTTTTACATTTAACAAAATATGTTTTTTAATAAAATTTATTAAAATTTAATTATTAATGTTAATTATTTTTGTTTAAAATATAGTCCTAATTTATTTAAGTATTTTGTGAGATTATTTAAATTATTTAGTCGGAATGTTTGCATAAAGGTTATTTTTCCAGTTTATGATAATAATAATTGTATTGTTTGTTAACTTTTTGTATATTTTGGTTATTATTATTAATTGTAAACATTTTATTATAAAATTCGCATAAATATGCGAATTAAGCTTAATTTTCATGTATCCGTTTGTCCGTTCATCCGGGAGCGCTCTTATTGGTCCAATTATAATTCGAAAATTATGACATTTTTTCGGTCCGTCAAGTTTCAACTTCGTACGTCTGACAGAGAAAGTTAAAATAATTTTAACTCATCCGTCACTACACATCTGTTTTTGACGCCTAACGTTATTTTAAGATAATTTATTTTCAAATATTTTTATATATTTTTTAATAAGATTGGAAAACGGAAATATTACGTTCGTTATGTGAATAATGTTCTACTGTTATGTTTTTATTTAATAAGAATAACGGAAAAAAGGAGGGACAAAAAAAAAAAAAACTAGAACCAAAAGGACCTGCTTTTTTAAAACTATACATTTTAATGTACATTAAGGCTAGTATATTCTTTTTATAAGGTACCTACCTTTAAATTTATTAGACATCTAACTGTTAAAGTTACAATTGTTGACATAATTGTAACTATGACAATTAAGCATTAGGTAAATTTAGTAAAGTGAATATAATGACACTTAATTTCTATTTGTCGCCAAATCAATCCGTTAAACGTCATTAAAAAACGTATGCTTGAAAATTAGAACATTTCTTATCGGACGATTTTATTGAAAAACGGACAAACGTATGACGGACAAACAGATACATGAAAATTAAGCTTTAGGCATGTAATTTTATTTTTGCACGTTTTTTTCGACACGTTGTATAGTCGCAATGTTTTACATTGCTTCATTAATTCATTAATTTGTGAACCAAGCACATACATTATATTGTAATCAATTTGCTGTTTTCTTTTTATACGTGTGTGTAAGCCGTCCAAATTCTGTCAAAAAGGTGAAGTACATTTTGTGTGAATTTACCTTCATTACAAAATTTTCAAAATCATACAAATTCACAAAAAATGTCCCGCATTTTTTGACATATGTGGGGTGTTGGTAGATGTATGTCTAGCAACATTGAAAAATTGATGACGCATGGTAAAACATTCGCCGAGACGACTATATAGTAATCGTTGTCACATGACGTCAGGGACATGCGCAATAATAAAATATGATCGTGCATGTTTCTGATGTTTTAACAGTTAGGGGGCAATGCTAATATGTTATTTGGAACGTCTTTTTCTATAGAATTCAGAAAAAGAAAATAAATGTTATTTTATCTTTTGATCGTTCCAAAATTTATTAAAATTTCCTAAACTTCTGAAATTTCATGAAATTTATTGAAACTTTCAACAAATTTCAATCACTTTAAGTGTAATATATTAATATTGAAGTAAGCCCACTCGGAGACCATGGCAAATTGCCTCTCTTACCTCCTACCCCTCTGTGGGCCCCTGACCACCAATAATATAAATAGTAAATACCTATGTTTACCACAAATTTCTTAAGATTTCCTTTTAAAATATTTTTAAAATTACTAAAACTAAGAGAAATATACCACTTTTTGGTAAGCTAATGAGATTGTGCCACTTTCATTGTTTTATATTTATATATATTATTTTTATATTTTACTAAAATTTTACGAAAATTGAAGAAACTTCATCAAAATTTTATGAGCCAAAGGCATTTTTTATCCGTTTTCCGATGCAATTATAGCAAAAGTAAAAGTTTAAATTAATCATGACTTTAAAAAAAAATTAAGTCTGGTATATAACTGAATTAAATTATTTAAATTAATTTATGCATATAAGTAAGAATAATTACTTATAGTGTATTCAAATCCAAGCCGAACTAAACAAAAACGCCCAGACGCTTGATAACTCGTTTTTATTGGTCGATTCGGAATCTGTTGCAAATTATTATTAAAGGTCCCAGGGGAGGCCGCATGTGAAATTTATGCGAAATTTTCAGTAAATTGCGAAACTTTCAATGAAATTTCTGAAAATTTCACAGGCAATGTTGAAATTTTCGGATTGAAAATTTCATTTGAAAATTTCAACTGTCCCAACCCCAGTTCCAAGTAACATATTGTAAACTTTTTAAACTTTATTTAATTAATCGCTGTAAATTAAAATTGACATTTGGGTCTTGATGGTTTAGGAAATACTAACACAAACGCCGGTAGCGGCGGCAAACAAACCTCCACCACGACGATCACGCTCGCCTCCTCGGACTCTCGCAGCACGTTTAAACGGGTCCAGCAAGCGACGTCGGCGGCAGGCGGCGCCACCGTCGTCTCCGTGAAACAAGAGGGCGCCGCCAATGCCGCCAACGACAGCCTAGTACCTAGCTATGTAGACAGTACGACGTTCGTAAACTCGCCCAGCGTTCAGCAATCGAGCGGCGGCGCGCCGCAAAGAACGCAGCAAAACACTAGTAGTAGTGCGCAAAACGTGCAACAGAGGACCAGCGGGGACGTTGACTGCGAGCCGGTCACTTTGCCCAGTAAGTCCCAGTCCAGAGGATTGAACATAACCTCGATATCTATCATTGTTTTCCTTGCTGCATGGTTGTCTGTTTTTTCGTGTTCGGTTATCAGCATGCAGTGCCAGTACTAACCATACGTACCAATTTTATGCGTTTTTTTACAGGATTTATTTGTTGTTGGGTGATTTATTATTATTTTGTCATTATGTTCAACCGATTATTGTTTTATATACCTACATTCGTCAGTTAGTAAGACTTAAGAAATAGGTGTATTTTAAAGGAACCAAGCGCAAAATATACTATATATTATGATATCTATTTCTCTAGAAATTTTCTGTTTTGTCATATCTTATATGGCCCTAACCTGTCTATCCTTCCTTGTCCTACGTTTTTCTGTTTAGTCCCACCAATAATTGGTAGTGTACTACCCGGACAACATTCGTGATATTCATACGAACATCATGTCGTGATTTTCACAAATTTTATTTATACGGACATCATTCGGATGTCACTGCGTGAGAAATGAAAATCATGTATGCCATCGCTGTTTGGATAATCATTTTTGCGCTACACTAAGAGAAAAATTATGTTGAATCAAGAGTTTTTGCGGTTAAATACATTCAATATTTTCTTGGATTTAAATTAACTATATATAGTTAATTTAAATCCAAGAAAATATTGAATATTAAACTGTTGATTCAATTGTTAACATACTTTTTTTTTCAATGTACGAATCTGGCGCAAAAATAAATATCCAAACATGTCGGTGCACCGATGGCATAAACAAACATGTCGTGATTTTTTGGCCATCGGTCAATCGCAAACAGTGATGGCATAAAAAATCACGACATGATTTTCATTTATCACGCGGTGACTTCCGTATAATATCAGTATGAATAAAATTTGTGAAAATCACGACATGATGTTCGTATGAATATCAAGAATGTTGTCCGGGTTCAATTAAAAAAGATATTCCAATGTTTAACAAAACGTTCACGTTTTGTTAAACATTGAAATTTCTTTTTTAATTGAACCCGGACAACATTCGTGATATTCAAACAACGTTTTATAAATTATAACGATGTAATGTGAATAACAAACTAGGTTTTAAATTCGCAGTTCGCAGGGCTCATACGCATGCGCAAATTTTGCAAATATCACACCGTGAGTTCTACATGATATCACTGTGTGTGCAGTCAGGATATCACAGCGTGATAAAAAAAATCACGTTGTGACATCATCATGACTTCACCAGGAAATCCCGATTGTTGTCCGGGTATATCCTGTCCGTATTTGTCATGTCTGTTGTATCCCATTTGTTTATATTTTAGATGACACAGTAAACTTATATCAAATTCCAAATTTATAAAGTACAATACAATTTGATATTTTATAATAATTACAAAATATTAAATTGTCCCATTTTACTACTTTTCTTGGTTTCTTTACAAATACATGTATTATTTGGTAGAAACCACAATCCACACAACAAGGTCTGTTCTATCTCGTACTAAAAATACAAAAAATCACTGCAACACTGCACAGGTCATCTATGTGTTAACGGCGGCCATTTTTGTTGTTTACAATTTTTGTGCTTTGGGTTTGTGCTCTGTTTATACAGATTAATAATCGTTTTAAACTTTGTGTTTCTCATAGTAAGCCTTAAAAGAGGCCTTAAAGTGCCAAGAACAACCATTTTACTCCTCTATTGAAAAAAATATACTTTATTCTATCAGGGCTATCATAAAACTGTCAAATGTCAATTTTAAGGTTAAATTATATCCCACAAATTAACCTTCAAATTGTCATTTGACAGCCCTGATAGAATAAGGTATATTTATTATAAAAGAGGAGTAAAATGGTTGTCCTTAGCACTTAAAGGCCTTATTTGAGGCTTACAAGTAACTCTGTAAGAAACACAACGTTTAAAACAATTATAAAACAGCACAAACCCAAAGCACAAGACTGGTAAACAACAAAAATGGCCGCCGTTAAACTCAGTGCAGTGTTGCAGTGATTTTTAGTATTTTTAGCATGAGATAGAACAGACCTTGTTGTGAGGATTGTGGTAGAAACATTGTTTTTTCAGAAATGCAATTTTTACGGATAATGTAATGATTTTTTTTATTTACCTGTAGGGTCATTTTACGTCGAGTCGAACACAATGATTTTTTTTTTTAATTTTTTGTAGATGATTTATAGGCTGGTATAACCACAAATCTCGATTTTAAAGCTTCTTCGATAATTAATTACCGAGAGATTAATTAAAATTAATTATTCTAATATTTAAATTTTTCGCAAATGGCGAATTTCTTAAATTAATCTTTAAGCTGTGCATTTTCTTAAATGCAAGTTTGTTTTTTCAAAAATGTTATTAGAATTTGTGCATCCTCTATATTTTTTTGGCATGAGCATTGCATTTGCTAAAAAAATTAAAGAATGTTTTTTGACATGTTTGATGAGGAGCACATGTTTTAAATTGTTTTATGTTGTAAAGAAGGTATAACACCACATCATGAAAAATATTTATTTTATCTTTCCGCCTAGGCCATGTGTCTAAAAACTGATCGTTTTTCAGATGACACATGTCAAAATGAGGATTCAGGTGACAGATGTCAAAAACGACAGGTGACAGGTGTCAAAAATAAACTATGACAGATGTAAAAATAAGCCATATACGCTAAAGAGCGCCACGATGTGGCCGTTATCATCGTCACCAGAATTAATTTTTTAATAAGCAGTCTCCACTCAACAGTAAAATACCAAGAACCGGTATTATATTATGTATTATATATAATATTATGTTGCCATAAATTCGTAGGTATATTTTGTCGTTTAAAATGCGGTTGTCGGCGTTTTTTTTTAGAGGAAACAAATATAAAAATATTCGATTTTAAGGTTATGTTAGTACAACAATTATTTTTGTTAGATTTCTTAAAAATGTCCAAACTTAATATAAATTATATTAGGTAAAGTTGATATTAGTAAATTCAACACCAACAAATATACGTACCGAATTGGATCCTTTGGCAAAACATGATAATGCAACGATTTAGTTTTTGAATTTTATTTACAATTAAAAACACAATAATTCACCACGTTCACATAAAATACGCAAACTAACGTAACCATATAAGCATAAAAGCATTGAGTTTTTTAAGTAATGATATAAGAAATAATAAATCGAGTACTAAACTAATAAATAACTTGAGCGATTTAGCTGTGCAATTGAACAAAATTAGTAAGAATTCCGCCTTCCTCTCTTTTAGAAAAAACTACTATTGTTACTATTATTGTTGACAATTCTTGAATTGTCAACAATGCTACCTAATGCAATCGATAAAAAATTTTTTTGAAGTAGTGGTATACCATCTTGACAAGATATGAAAATTTAAAACATGTGGTCCTGATCAAACATGCCGAAAAAAAATAGAATTTTGTTTAGTTAATGCAACGATCATGCAATAATAATAAAAGACACATTCTGCGAAAAATATAAAAATTCCATAATTAATTTCTCGGTAATTAATTAATGTGGAAAATTCAAAACTACGATTTTTTCTTATCCTAGCCACAGTGTCCCTGAATAACTTTTAATTGAAAGGTTCAGACGTATCCGATTTTTTTTCATATTTTGATAAAAAATCACTCACAAGACAATTTTTTTTCAGGATAAACTTAATTCGCTTGGCACTTTTTTTAGAAAAATCAATTTTTATAAAAACATTAATGATTTTTAATTAGTGAACTCCAAATAATGACTAACAGCTTTTAATGTATTTGTTACATAAAATGTGCAATTCATTAGACTGGTGAACTATTGACATATGTCAATTGTCACATGTCACATGTCGAAATCGTGATTGAAAATACCGTTGCGTTATTTTACCGCTTTTTTCAATTTGTCGCAGATTTATTTATAAATTAGATATAAATAATTATATTTGCATTGATTATAGTATATAGTGCAATGAAGCTAATAAAAAACCATACATGGACTCACTCGGATAATCGCGGGAGAATTTGTTTGTTTTGTCTTAAAAAAAAAGAAAAAAAGTCTAAAATATGTGGAAAGATTCTGGAAAAAGTTCAAAGCATATTAGTATATGATGTAGAAGATGAACGATTACCAAAAGTTGTATGCAAAGGTTGTGAAATTTTATTATATAAAGCAGCTAAACAAGAAATTTATAGAAACACGTTAAATTTGCCTGATTTTTTTAATTGGAAATAATTGGGTATAATTTTATAAAAAGTGCTAAAAATAAACAAATTAAAAAAGAAAAACACACGCTTTTTTTCTTTTTTAATGGGGTTATTTTTAGCACTTTTTATAAAATTATACCCAATTTCACAACCTTTGCATACAACTTTTGGTAATCGTTCATCTTCTACATCATATACTATTATGCTTTGAACATTTTACAGAATCTTTCCACATATTTTAGACATTTTTTTTTAAGATATAACAAACAAATTCTCTCGCGATTATCCGAGTGAGTCCATGCATGGTTTTTTATTAGCTTCATTGCACTATATACTATAATCAATGCAAATAAAATTATTTATATCTAATTTATAAATAAATCTGCGAAAAATTGAAAAAAAAAGTAAAATAACGCAACGGTATTTTCAATCACGATTTTCGACATGTGACATGTGACAAGTGACATATATGTCAATAGTTCACTAGTCTAATGAATTGCACATTTTATGTATTATTTGGAGTTCACTAATTCAAAATCTCAAAAAATGATTAAAAATAACTAATGTTTTTATAAAAATTGATTTTTCTAAAAAAGTGCCAAGCAAATTGAGTTTATATTGAAAAAAAATTGTCTTGTAAGTGATTTTTTATCAAAATATGAAAAAAAATCGGATACGTCTGAACCATTCAATTAAAAGTTATTCAGGGACACCGTGAGCCAATATATTTTCTACAAAAAATTTAAGGAAAATCTGATTCGGTGTGGTGATCTAACGTGAAATCATCCAGTAGCGTCTGATAATTAGTATTTTGACTTGTGATTTGTGATCGTGCTTTGCCATAAGCAACTTGTAGCCGATTAAAAACATTCGTTTCGTTTCAGATCCGAGTCAGATATCCGAGCTGCTATCGAAGACAATATCAGACGCGCACAACCGCACGTGCTTGTACCAGCTGGAGCACATCCACGAGATGTTCAGGAAGCCGCACGACCTCACGCGCCTGCTCTTCTACAAGAACATGGCGCACGAGGAGCTGTGGCTCGAGTGCGCCCAGAAGCTCACCACGATCATCCAGCAGATCATCGAGTTCGCGAAGATGGTGCCCGGCTTCATGAAGCTGTCGCAGGACGACCAGATCGTGCTGCTCAAAGCTGGCAGCTTCGAGCTGGCCATCATCAGGATGTCGCGCTACCTGGACCTGTCGCAGAACTGCGTGCTCTACGGCGACACGATGCTGCCGCAGGAGGCGTTCTTCACTTCCGACACGGCCGAGATGAAGCTGGTCAAGTGCGTGTTCGAGCTGGCCAAGAGCATAGCCGAGCTGAAGCTGACGGAGACCGAGTTGGCGCTGTATTCCGCTTGCGTTCTACTGTCGCCAGGTCAATATTGCGAAGCTAGTTAACCAACTCACCATTGTATTTTTACTGTTGTTTTTAGATCGGCCTGGTTTGAAAGGCCTCGGCGAAATTGGACGGTTGAGCCAAGCGGTCGTAAGAGCTTTAAGACTTGAACTAGAGAGGAACCACAGCCTTCCCATTAAGGGAGATGTTACAGTTTGTGATGCCTTGCTTACAAAAATACCTACATTAAGGTAAGTTTTATTACACTCACAGGCAAAATAATCGATCCACATAAATTTTCGATAAATTTCAATCGCAAATAACTTTCGGATTTGATTTAGGATTTAAACAAATATTAAAGAATATTGTAGATAAATTAATGGAGAATCGCTCATATTTTAAAAATTACTAAAAATAGACGTATTTTTATAATATACAGGTTTAAACAAAAATATGTTTTTTACCATAAGTGGCAAAACCGTATATTATTCTAAATTAAGTTTTAATTATCAACTTACATCTATTTTTAACAGTTTTGTTTTGTACACTTTGTTACTTTTTTGTTTTGTACACTTTGTTACTTTTTGTGACGTTTAAAACACTTCCATCCTGAATTAAATCAATGGCTCTGGCAACATCAGTCGAAGACATATTCATTTTTAAAAGAAAGAAGACACCTCAAAAGTTAATCATTAATTTGCAAAAAACAATTTCATAGCTTTTGAAAGCCGTATATGACATGTCAAAGTATGGGATGATTCAACAAAACTGTCACTGTCATCCTCCATAGCCTTTGGATGGACCATAGCAACCTTACTTTTTTGTACAGAAAAAATATTGGAAATTGCAATGTTTTTTTAAAAATCCATATTTTTTACAAAAATAAATATATGGAGGTAAACCAAAAACAAAATTGTTAAGAATAGATGTGACTTGATAATTAAAACTTAATTTAGAACAATATACTGTTTAACCACTCTACAGAGTGTCTTAAACTTATAGTAAAAAACTTATTTTTGTTTAAACCTGTTTATTATAAACGTACATCTATTTTTTAGTAATTTTTTAAAATGTAAGAGATTCTCTATTAATTTATCCACAATATTCTTTAGTATACGTTTAAATCCGATATCAAATAAAAAAGTTATTTGCGATTGAAATTCGTCGAAAATTTTGGGAAAGAATTAAAAGCCGAAAAAACAACTTTGAAAAATATATTTAAGTGAAGAACTTGTAACATTGAAATAATCTTTCACTAAAAAAAAAATAACCTCATTTAACTGACAAAGGTCCATTGTCTTCAATTTGGCGAAGCTTTGTTCGCGTGTCCCATTATTCTTTGGACGGTTATATCTACTTCTCGAATTTTTTGATAAATTCGACGACACAAAATTTGTTCGTCTGCGGCTTCCCAGCCATTGTCATAGACCTTCCTGCTCAGTAAGGACCAAAAAGTTTTAATTGGACACCAAAAGTATGTTATGTGCTGCTAACCAATCTCTGGTGATTTGAGCATAATGACATGATGCCAGGTCAGGCCAAAACATTATTTCTTTTCCAAGGTGGTGTTCATTTATAAAATCAACCAATTTTGAAAGACATACGGTCTAGAGATACCTCTATCTGAAAAGGCAGCCCAAACTAAAACTTTATCTTCAAATTTTTTTTCGCCTTTGTTGGAACTTCATTAGGATACTTTAAAGATCAGTGTAAAAACGATCATTTCCTTTCATTTCCAAATTGGAAACAGAGATATATTTTTCGTCATCCAAAATGATGCGTTTGTGGTCGCGAAATCGATTCGTCGTAGTGCTCTACAGCATATCGGAATTCTCTGTAGTGAATTCTGCGTGTATTTTGGACTTTTCCGTCTTTTGCGATATTTCTTCTTTTAAGTGTTCTTTGTATAGTAGTACTTGATACATGAAATCTTCTTGCCAGTTTTCAATGTACCCACTTTATGTCTTGCGCTTTCAACCACTCTGTTTTCACGAACTTCACTTAGAACTTTGGGTCGTCCACTTTTTGGTAAGTTAAAACGTAGTTGTTTGTAATTGTAACAAACATTTTGTCAATAATTCAACCATAATTCTTGTAATTTTCAAAAAGGACCATATTTTTACAAACCATTGTGTAGACCCAGTATCAAAAGTATTTGTTGGAAATTTGTAACTTAAATTAAAAGAATTTTGATAAGAAATGTTGCTTTATCAATCAATTAATAACACATCATTCTAAAATCATCAAATTATAAAGAAATGTTGTACAATATAATTATCAGTACTACTACAATACTTACTGATGTATTTCGTAACTTTAATCCACTTCCAATGTATCCCCTAATTTCAGTTTGAAAACTAGTGATGTCATCTTGTTTCGAATACTTCGCACTTCGCACACTCGTTAAATAGGTATAAGGAATCCGAATAACAATAATAACAGATTTCTGGTAATATATTATAAACACTCTGGACAGTTGTTGTATAAATTATAATAAAGTAAGCAGAAACATAAGTTGCAGACGCTGAAGTCATTTGAACTTGTTGATGCGTATGTGGAAAATGTTTTGATTGACTTCCTGAAATCACGTGTACTTTTTCAACAAAATAATTTGTTAAACTTTACCAAAATAATCTGTAAGCTTGGAAATTAACAAAATGCTTACAAAATTGCATATTACCTTTACAAAACTTTCGGTAAATTTGTTTACATAAGTACTGCTAATGGTGATTAAAATAAAAAGCTAACTTCAGCATTTTGCCTACGGGTTGAAGTTAAGAAATGAAATAGGTGTTGAATAAAAATAATTAATAATTGTTTTTTTTTATTTGCAGAGAAATAAGTATGCTTCACATGGATGCATTGGGAAAGCTAAAACGATCTGCCCCTCATCTAGAGTTCCCTGCACTGCATAAGGAGTTATTTAGTGTGGATAGTTGAAAACTTTCCCATGTCTCCTGATCTGTAGCGGCAGACTTGTGTAGCTACTGTAAGTATAAAATCAATTTAAAAGCCATAAATAAAAACAGGATGGTTAAGAAGATATTTTAATACATTTATAGTACCTACTTGTCTACTACAAATATATCATTTCATTACTAGTACTTACTGTTCCTGGTAAAACCTGTTTTTTTCTTTTTACAAAAATTCAGCAATGAATGAAGTTTTATGAATAGAATTTCGTTAAAATGCTTTTTAACGATAAAATTAAGAGAAGATAAGATTAAGATCCAGCGTATAATAACTCCATTTAATATTATTGTTTATAATAGTGATAATTAGTGACAACCCTGGAAATATGAGCGGGGCACCTGTCTATTAAAACCAAACGTTATCAAGATTTCGGCTTAGCTTCGCCAAAGCTGGCAAAATTTCTTTTCTAAAAAGCTTTACAGTTAAATTTGCTTGTATTGTCTGGTATTTTTTTTTAAAGTTAATTGTAATTATATGTGTTTTTACTATAAAATTCACCATGAATCATAATCGAAAACTAAACATAGTTCCATTTCATCATTAAAGAAAATACATGAGTTAAATTGGATACCCTACTGTATATAATTAGTAATTGTTTTTTTTGTTTGTTTCAGATTCCTTCATACTGAATGTATCGGCCTTAATTACATAAATAATATAAATTTAACTATAATTTCGTTATAATGAAATAAAATTTATTGTTGTGACATAGAAATTTAAAAGGATCGCAGATCTCTACTGTTAAGTGACGCCTTTTAAAAAACTGCAAAACGTTGTTCGAAGCCAGGCCCTGATTTCAAAGTACAACTTATACGTTCGTTGTTTGTTATTATATCTATCCAGTGTGTTATATGGTTCAGAATCCACGGTGCTGATTTTTTTGTTTGGGAATTTTGATTTTTGCGGTTTTTTAAATACGATCATTTATCAAATTATCTGCCACTCAAAATAACACGCTAATACACATAAGAATAAAGTTATACACTATTGATATAATATATATGGACACCATGCTAAAGGAATAGTAAAAGTTTATTCTAGTTTTAAGACTGAATTTACTTTGTTATGGATAAAACATACAAACCAATTTGCAACACCAAAATTACTCATATCTGAACATCTGTTTTGTTTTTAAATGTTTTTGATTGTTGTGTCTTTTTACGTACTATTATTTTATATTTAAGGTATTTATTGAAAAGTTTGTGATATAAAATAAAAAAATCTTTATGTCCATTTCATATAGTGATGATTCAGCCTTAAAAGTATGTTAAATATAGTTAGACTGCGTAAATATACGTACGTATACTGAAATGTTATATGAATCACTTTAGTTTTTAGATATAACTCTAGAACCTTACAATACATAATAGAAGACTGTAATGCTTAAATAATGAATTTTTACTATTTTTTACGTGGTGCTTTTTAGTTAAGTTTTTCTTGGTGACACATGGTTTTATAAAAATATATATAAAGAGATGTATATGTATAAAGTATATGAAATAGAATATAGAGTATTTATGAAATAGAACTATATCTGACTTTAATTTACACTCACTGTTGTTTTGTTGTGGATCTGAGGAATCCATCCAAAATAAAACAAACATTAAAACGTGATAAAAATACAGACAGAGAAAACATTTCGATCGGAATAAAACTAGCTTTGCAAATCATTACCTATTTAGAAATTACATAAACATATTTCGATAATCTTAATTAATAATTATAAAATACTTGAGGCATTAAAATATTAATAAATAATAGTTAAAAATAATATCACTTACTGAATACATAAATACGTAAAGAAAACGAATATTTATGACAAATATGTTACAAGAAACACACTTGTTTGTCATAAGTATGAGTTTTCCAATGTGCAAGTTTAAATTTAAGATATTTTGCAATAATAACGTTTTAATTTTAATTATAATAGTTTGTACTAATATGTACATAGGCAAAACACACTCCTGAATTAGATTTTCATGTAACTGTAGTTTAGTTAACGGATTAAAAATCTCGATCGACAATCTAGTTTTATGTAAAAACAACACAGTAAAATTATGTGCAATATTATTTCCCATTTCACATATTGGTATTTTTGAACTAAAAATCTCCTAATTGACGTAAGACGGTGGTTTAAATTAAGCTTTAGCAACTAAAACGGGTGTTTTATATCGTATAATTAAATAAGTGGATAAGGTTTAATAAAATATGACTTATGTGTGTAATTTAAAATACCAATGTTTGAAATTTATTTCCACAAGTTGTTGTTTATGTAATTTCTTTTTCAAAATGCCAGGATACATAGTTCTAATTTTAAGTTAGGTTTAAAGTGCTTGTTAATGTTAACCATTGTTAAATGCATATATTGTTTATTTTTAGTCTTTCAACCCAGTGTTATAAAACTATTTATGTTTGTTGTAGAAAATTAACATCACATGTTTATTTTTTATTGAAAATTTATATATTATTATTATTATTATTATTAATGGTTTTGTATAGAGATTTTATATTATATTATTGTTAGTTGTAAGGGGTAGACATTTGACAATGGTTAACATTTATTTTATCAAGAGGCTATTGGTTATGGGTGTGCCTAGCCAACTTAATGTTTAACTTGAATTTTCGGTTGTGCTAGTCGCGTCCATGACAACTTATGATATGTAATTTGCCTTTTATGTTAACTTTTTGTTAAATAAATAAATAGTTTTTTTAACGATTTTGATTTAATCAATTTCCTGCTGAAATCTGCGTAAGACAACTATTTAACGAAGAGTTATGTTACAAAAAGTTAAGTTACAAAAATTGTAGAATAGCCATTTTCTGTAAAATGAAGGGTTGGCAAAGGGTAATGGTATCGCTATTGTTGAATATTAATTGATTATTTTATATGTACAAAAACAGTACGTTGCATTAATTTGATAGAAACTTTGCATCTGGTTAAATTTTAGTATAGTCGCTAAAATTACGTTTTTATATATTTCATTTCTGTTGGTTTATAGCAATTAATACTATTTGTCGATATTTTTGTTGAATTTGTGGACGTATTTTTATATTGTAAATCGTAAATGTTTAGATTTTTTATTCTCATCAAAGTGCAATTCTTAGAAATGGGTGACAAAAATATCATCAAATAAAACTAATTGTTCCATGCGCCAGTAGAAGTTACATATATTTTTTGTATTAATTTCTTTGATTTTTTTTCACCCCATAACCCCTAATACATTCCTGTTTCTTTTATTTATTGATCATTCATACTTTTTTAGTGTACTGAAACAAAATGTAAAATTTAATGCATGCCACCTTTATATTAAAATCTTTGTAAAGGAAAATATACTTTTATTAAAAAAACTAAATAAGCAAATACAATAAATAGGTAAGTATCTCCATTTACCATTTAAATTAATTAAATTTTAAAAAACGAAAATAGAGGTTTTACGAAAACACATATTCGTGATACCGAAATAATGCTATATAACTAAATTTACTTCTATACAAAAACGAACGTTTTTTTACAAAATTTAATTTATGGGAGTATTTCAGTCCAGAAAAATTAAATTAAAAAAAAAAAATATATACACTACATTATAATCAGACACATGTGGCTAATTTTTTTTGTGCCCATATAGAATAACACTTTTAACATTTATTATTATTTATTTTACTTAACTTAATAATACAAAAAATTCATGCTTAAAAAATACATTAAATTTTATAAATTGTAGTATTTCTTACGTAACAGCAGGAAAGAATCCATAACGTTATCACAGTTAAAACCTAAAAGTAGGTAAAGTTAAAGAAAAAAATATTTTACGATTATTAAAAATAATTTAAGGTTAATATTAAAGTTTGTTAAAACTACTAACCTGAAATACCCCTTTTCCAGAGTTAATACAACTTACAATCATATTTTGGAATAAAACAAAATTAAACAGTTCTCTAGAACAGCCACTTTCGTAAAGATTTGGAGAATTCGTAGTACAAGTTTCATTTTTATTTGTTAAACTGCAACAACTTATTGGAAGATTGTAATTTTGGTATTGACTTGGTTGAGATATGCCGCAACATTTCGCCTAAAAAATAACAGTGGTTATTTATGTCGTTAGGCCAAGAAATGAGTCTTTTTGTGTTAAGTTCCAAGTTTTATCTTTAAGTTGAAATGTTTTTTAGAATTTAAAGCCAATTTTATGATTGTATATAAGAGAGGCCAGAAAGTTTCGGTTAATTTAAAACCAATTGGTTCAAATTTGATTTAAATCACAGTGAGCCTGGCAACTAATTACTAGCCTCATAAATGTTTGTACCTGTTAACTGTTGATTTTTAGGCCATAATAAAAATATTTAAATTTAAACGTTTATGAAATAATAATGCATTTTAATACATCTTACCTGCTTCTGAATGTTATACATTAACTGGGTAGAATTTCTTTGGTAAAAAGCAAATTTTACATTGGTGTCAATTAAATGTGCAGTATCACTTTTAAAATATCCATTTTGATGTATAACAAATACACCAGCGCCAATTTGTAGAACAGAAATTACTAAAAGTACTGATGCAAACTAAAAATAAATGTAGAAAAGTTTAAATAATTCGGTTAAATTTTTGTAAAATAAAAAGTTTACTTTTATTGTAATATAAACCAAGTAAATTTGACGATGTTATTTTTTGCAAAACTGGCGAATGCGCCAGGATCAATTTGGATAAAGGTTTTATTATTAAATCTAATCATTCCAATCAAAAATCCTAACATAAAAGGTAAGTACGTAGGTTTAATAGTATATTATGTATCAAGCTTTCGAGCGAGTGTAACTAAATAAGTTCTTAGAAAAGTTTATAAACGTGACAAACTATACTTTTAATTATTATTACCTAAAAATGATTTAAATTAAATATAATATATTATAATATATTATGTATGGAGCAACATCTATAAAAAAATGAAGTAATTCACGTAGGTATTTCCAGTTTGGACGAACAACCGTTTAAAAAGCAGTTTTTCACAGTAAAATTGAAGAGAATGTTTTATTGGCACTTCACCGAAAATTGTAATAATTTATTATTTAAATCTAGTTTACTGCCGGCGAAAACAAAAGGTTAGTAAAAACTTGCATATAAACTTTTCCAATAGGTATTGGTGAGAAAATATTTAATACCTTTTTTATTTTTGAATTAAGATAATAAAATAATTTCCTCAATATTATTTCAAAAAAGGGCACTTTATTTAACGATTGTATGACAGTTGACAACTGTCAACTAACTTAAAACTAACTTCAGCCCGTGACTAAAAACCTGTTGCTAACTTCAGCCCATGACTACAAACCTGTTGCTACCTTCAGCCCGTGACTAAAACGCCATTAAGCCACAACTTGTCAATGTGTATAAGATTACTTAGTGTCATGGAAACATGTACGATAATGGGTGTTTTAATGGTGGGAGTTGAAAAAATATAAAAAATTACTTACGAATTCAATACAGCAACTGACATCTTGTGCAATTCCCCATAATCCACAACTAATTGTAAACAAAGTAAATAGACCCAATATAATCAACACTAAAGGAGGTATGAAAAGAAAACTCTCCTCTAAAATATTAAACTCAAATGTAGTGCAAAATACATACAAAACGTACACTCCAAACAAAATTTCTGCTATACTCGAAAGCTAAAATAAATATTGTCACCAACAAATTAAAAAATATATTTATAATCTTACCAGAATTAATGTAATTAACGTTAAGTTTAGTTTTTTGAAACATGATCCACTCATTTTGTATAGTTGAATAAGAAAATTGGCAGAATGTGAGTTTGAATATGTTGAGGAAGTACAGGTTAGATAAAAACAAGATCACAGGAAATTTGTGACGTTCTTACAGATAACTTCTAACCTAACCGTTTATCGCAATGATTTTGGTCGAATATGTTAATAAATGCAAATAAATAAATTTATATAAATATGGTTAAACACATACAATTAGGTATTATATTATTTTAAAAATAAAAAATAATTTTCTTTGAAATACAATATTTTTCTATAGGTACTTTTAAAATTCTCAATTTATTTAAACAGGTTACATCTGCAAAGTTAAATATAAATAAACAAAACTTATTAAACCCTGTGTAACATTAATTATTCCACACTGGCTATAATAAAAAAGGAATAATAAATTTAAAAGCAGTTGTTTTTATAAAAACTTTATTAAAAGGTATTTAATAAATTCAAACAAATTTAAAAACATGTAAAATGCAATGTATAATTATTTTTCTTAGAGCAGTACATTTGGGTTATGCATTATAGCATAAAGGTATGTTGGGTCTTGTAGGGAAAATCTAAAATAAATTTATTATTTTTTAATTACTTTTTCTACCTAATATAAAATAATAAAATGGCCCTATGCACCGAAAAATTGACTTTTGGGTTTTAATTGATGGTTTGTTTATTGTTAAGCAATTTTGAACAAATTATAACCAAAAAACTATAAATGTTATCAATTTTTTTTAAATTATGGTTAATACCTGGAACATCTTTTTATCCAAATAATATTGGCCATGTGGCAAACAAAAAATTACATTTTCTCAATTAGTGTAATTGAGGTTAACTTTTAAACAGTGTTATATATTTAAATGAACAGTTTTTCGCCAATGTTAAATAAAATAAAAAAAAATGTTTTTTTGGTCACCAAAAATTCTGTCTAGACATCTAAATGGTTTGGGTTCGATAGGGCAATTTTGTCATTTTTAACATATACTATTAAATATTTACCTAAAAGAGTTGTTATTGAACTCACTATAATTCGACACTTTAATAATAGTTAGCTTGCGCCTCATTTTGCAAAGCCTCAACTAATTTTTCTTGGGATGCATTTTTTCTCTCAAATATACTAAAAGTAAAACAGAAATTAATTTTCAACAATAATAACTATAAAATGTGATTGTTTAGAAAAAAAAATAGATGAGAGGGTGGTAATATGGAACCGCTACAAAATTTATTTTAACGAAAACAATGCTAATAATGACCTATAATTATGTTCACGAAATCTTTAGTATTTCTATTTCTTATTATTAAATTTAATTGTATATTACCTCTCTAAAAATTAATTAATTGTCAAAGCAAAAAAGCAGCCACTAATAATTCTCGTCAATAGCAATTTAGCAGTCAATTTCTATCTAAACTTGTCCCCTGAAATGAACTGACTAATTCATTTTTAGAGAGAATGGTTCCTTTAATAGATAATTTCTTTTAAATAAATTAGAAAAAAATGTTTACTTACTAATTTAATACAGCAGAAGAAATGAGGAAGAACACGTAAATATGTAAAAACAAACAAACCAAACCCAACACAATCAAGCTCAAAATTGAAATAGACAACATTCCATTCTTCCAGTTTTCAAAATCAATATTCAGAATTGCTTTTCCATATATAAACAAAACAAAACAAACCATGGCTATTGCTAGACTTAACAGCTAAAATTATTAAATTAGTTAAATACAGATAAATAGTTTATAATTTACTTACTATGTACAAAGCGATCAATACAAAGATGCGTTTTTTTAGAACTTGCGAACCCATTTTGGTTTTCTGTTATAAAAACTGTAAAAACTTTTTGCAAATGTTAGGTTAAGCAAGTGAAACCTGTGACTTCTAAATATAGCTGGAGTATAAAATCGATATTCGGGATACATTTATCCGGAGAGAAACAGCGCATCATCTGGCCGCTTTATATAATATTCTGGACGCTATATTTAATATAATTTCATAAAATATGGAATTGACTTTATCTTACAAACTGCTCTACTTTTATAATTTTGACGGTATTTTCGGATTCATGGGACAATTTTACATAACAATTTACAGTTCTCTCTAAAAATGAATTAGTCAAAAATGACTAATTTAATAGTTATTAGTGGCTGCTTTTTTACTTGTACCATGGTTAACCATGGAACACCATGGTATCCAGAAATTTAACAGCTAATTCTTGTGTAAAATTGTCCCTTGAATCCGAAAATACCGTCAAAAATTACGAAATTGGAGCAGTTTTTGAGATATAGTCAATTCCATATTAAATGGAAAATTGACTATACGGCCATTTCAAGCGCGCGAAACGCACGAATTACAAAACTGTTTTTATAAAAAAAAATGTAGATTATTTATTATATAACATTTTGCCATCAAAATTGTCAAAAATATTCTTCTTTTATTAGGTTATACATTAAATAAAAAAAAACGCAAGAAATATTTTATAAAAGTAGATATAACTTTAATAATTGAAAGGTGTGGACGGGACAAAAAAAAGATTTATCTTGTCCCGTCCACCCCTATCAATTATTGAAATTATCTCAACTTTTATAAAATATTTCTTGCGATTTTTTTTATTTAATGTATAGCCTAATAATAGAAGAATATATTTGACAATTTTGATGCAAAAATAATATATAATAAATTACCTACAATTTAAAAAAAAACAGTTTTGTGATTTGTCCCGTCCATCCGCTTGAAATGGCCGTATATCTCAAAAACGGTTCTAGTTTTTTAACTTTTTTCGGATGCAGGGGACAAATTTACATAAGAATTGGCTGTTAAATTTTGAGATACCATGGTATTCCATGGTTGACCATGGTACAAGTGAAAAAGCAGCCACTAATAACTTTTAAATTAGTCATTTTTGACTAATTCATTTTTAGAGAGTTAAATGTCTGGGATACAAATTGCTGTGCACTACAGTTATTAGTGGCTGCTTTTTTTTAATATGAAAACTAGTCAATTTTGACTAATTTTTAGAAAAAACTGTAATTTTAGGCAGAAAAATGTTTGCTCGGCGATACAATGTTCAAAATTTCATGACCAATTTAACACCAAATTAACACCATACATGGTCTATATCGATACAAACCAAAATGGTGTTAAATATGGTTCGTTGGCCGGTGTAAATTCAAATACTAAAATGGTGTTAATTTATCTTTCACACAGTATTAAAATAAATTTTACCTGGTGTAAATTGAACTCCTTTTCAGTGTTAAATATTATGTGTTTGTGGTCAAATTAAACCATACTACACAGAAAAAAGGAAAAAAAAGGAAACAGGAAGTTCCTTGACGCATGACAAGTACATAAACAGTGGTATTATTCCAGAAAATGGAACCTTCAACTCGCTAGAGATGTTTTTAGTGCGTTCCACTAACTTAAAATACTTCAAGTATTGACAGCTGTTTCCACCTATTTAAGGTTTCTTTAATATAGAACACCTTGTAGTGTCACACCAAAGCTATTGACTATCTGAGTTTATATATTCTTCATGTAAGTCAACAGAGGCGAGATTTAAGAACATCACGTGATCCACACCGCCTTTGCCGCGATCGGTACACATTTTCAACCATAATTCATGGTGTTATATTAACACCACTTGGTGTTGGATTTTGACACCATTTTAAGATTACTTTTTACACCACAGATATTTTAAACAGTGTAATATGTGCTTTCTCTGCCTGCTCTATAAAGTATCTACTCTCTAAAAATGAATTAGTCAAAAATGATTAATTTAATTGTTATTAGTGGCTGCTTTTTCACGTACCATGGTTAACCATGGAATACCATGGTATCCCAAAATCGTCAAAAGTTAAAAAAGTAGAACAGTTTTTGAGATATAGTCAATTTTCCATTTAATATGGAATTGACTATATCTCAAACACTTAATAATTTTTTATGGTATTTTCGGATTCAGGGGACAATTTTACATAAGAATTGGCTGTTAAATTTCGGGATACCATGGTATTCCATGGTTAACCATGGTACAAGTGAAAAAGCAGCCACTAATAACTATTAAATTAGTCATTTTTGACTAATTCATTTTTAGAGAGAATACATGACAATTATTTTCACCTGTCTATCAAAAGTGAACCAATCAGAGCGCTTTATTTGGCAATGGCCAATAAAAAGTAATTATTGCGAATATTGTAGTACAAATTGCAGCAAATATTGTACTAGTATCACGAGGTAAATATTTTTTAATAACGATGCCATTTAATTTAATTTTTTTGAAGTTTTTAGTTCAATAATTTATCCTTGTTTGTGGTATATAGTATTTAAAGCAAGCAGAAACAATATTCGCTATATCACACCTTCAAATATTTCACATATTTTTGACCCCGCAGTAGTCACAACCCCTAAAATTGTAATGGGCTTGAAAGGTCTATAAAAAAGGGTGATAATAATAAAAATAATAATAATCCTTTATTCTCATATTACCATTTGTGTTACTTTAACTAAAAAATGTTCTGATGAACTCTTGTCCAAATATTGCTCCTTCCTAAAATACAGTGTTAATTTTTTTTAATATCATAACTTGAGTTTGTAGTTTGTTAATTTTATTTTGTAAAATTTTAACATAATTTTTTTGTAAAAAAAACAGGGTTTGCAATTATTTTAACAAAGAAAAAAAATTTCCCGAAAATTTTGTAAAGGTAATATGTAAGCATTTTGTAAATTTCAAAGGTTACAGAATATTTTGTTTATGTTTAACAAATTATTTCGTTGAAAAAGTACACGTGATTTCAGGTAGTCAATCAAAACATTTTCCACTGACAATACGCATCAACAAATTCCACTGACAGCGTCTGCAACTTATGTTTCTGCTGTCCAGAGTTTTATAATGTATTACCAAAACTATGTTATTATTTTTATTCGGATTCCTAATACCTATTTAACGAGTGTGCGAAGTGCGAAGTGCGAATTTAGGGGATACAGTGAAATGGGTTAAAGTTACGAAATACACCAGTAACTGTTGTAGTAGTAGTGATAATTATGTTAAACCAAATTTCTTTATAATCTGATGATTTTAGAATGTTGTTTTGTTTAATTGCTTGTTTTGTGTTCATTTATGTAGGTATGTGTTAATTTTTTTTGTTTATGAAAATGATTAATCACCAGCAACATTTCTTATCAATTTTTTTTTAATTTAAGTTCCCAATTTCCAACAAATACTTTTGATACTGGGTCTACAAAACGGTGTTTTTGAAAATTACAAGAATTATGCTTAAATTATTGACATAGGATTTTGTTATTAAACCTACAAAATGTTTGTTGTAATTACAAATTACTTATTTAATTAGTTAACTCTCTAAAAATGAATTAGTCAAAAATGGTATTCCAAAATTTAACAGCCAATGCTTATGTAAAATTGTATAAATTTTGAAAGTGGAGCGCAGTTTTTGAGATATAGTCAATTCCATATTAAATGGAAAATTGACTATATCTCAAAAACTGTTAACTTTTGACGACATTTTCGGATTCAATTTTTAATAAGAATTGGCTGTTCAATTTTGGGGTATCATGGTATTCCATGGTTAACCACCAAGCAGCCACTAATAACTATTAAATTTGTCATTTTTGACTAATTCGTTTTTAGAGAGAACAGATTACCTGCTCTCTAAAAATGAATTAGTCAAAAATAACTAATTTAATAGTTAATAGTGGCTGCTTTTTCACTTGTGCCATGGTTAACCCTCGAATACCATGGTATCCCAAAATTTAATAGCCAATTCTTATGTAAAATTGTACTCCGAATCTGAAAATACCGTCAAAAGTTATGAAAGTGGAGCAGTTTTTGAGATATAGTCAATTCCATATTAAATGGAAAATTTACTATATCTCAAAAACTGTTCTACTTTTTTAATTTTTGAAGACATTTTCGGATTCAGGGTAAAATTTTACATAAGAATTGGCTATTAAATTTTGGGATACCATGGTATTCGATGGTTAACCATGGCACAAGTGAAAAAGCAGCCACTATTAACTATTAAATTAGTTATTTTTGACTAATTCATTTTTAGAGAGTGGATAAACATAAAATCTGGTTAATATTTGGTTAAAATTAACAAATATTTTTTTACTATGTAATCACTTAATCACTTTAATATTTACATTGCAAAATTTGAATCTTCAAAATATTTTTTTAGTTAAAACCTCTATTGAAGTAAAACCTGGGCCATCCTGTATAATAATTATGACAAGTATTTCAATATATTTTTGACCAATATATTAAAATGCCAAAAAAGTTTCTTTCCGAAAATAAAAGAGCCTTTGAATCAAGAGAAAGAAAAGCAAAAGACAATGAAGAAAAATTATTGCAGGAAAAACAGGAGCTAGAAGAAGCTCACTGGCAAGAGAGTAATAAAAACATATTGAAAAAACAGCAACGAAAGGAAAATGAAATAAAGAAAAAGCAAGAAATACAAAATAAAAAAGCTTCGATGAAGGCACTCCTGGAACAAGAAGATGAGGATTTGAAAGCTAAAAAGGCGAGTTCTAGGATAACAAGAAGCCAAATCGTTGAAAAAATCAACAAAGATCAAGAAATTAAAGAAATAAAAGACAAGGTCACATCAGAAACGGCCTTAGTCGAAAACGTTAACAGACTAACAGTGGATGGAGTGGAGGCAAGATCAGTTAGCAAAGCCATAAGTGTTTTGACTAACAAAGGAGATAAAGTTGATAACCATCCAGAAAAACGTAAGAAATGTGCTTTTAAAGTGTTTGAAAAGAAATGCGAAGCTAAAATTAAAAAAGAAAATCCGGCGTTAAGAATGTCGCAGGTTAAGGAACGTGTTCTGAAGGAATGGCAAAAGTCTCCAGAAAATCCTTTAAATCATGTTATGGAATGATTTTTTTAAATTAAAGTCGTTAATATATTGGTTAGGTACATGGTTTTTACTAAACTTTAGTTTAAAATTAATAATTATTACAATTTATTGTCATTTTTAGTTAATGGCGTTTGATAGTTAAACTTGACATACTAATAATATTTTTGTTTTAATTTTCCCCCGTATGTAGACAGTTTATTTCCTGTGAGTAATTCTTTTTTGCCTAATCTGATTTAATGTCTTTGTGTGATTACTCTTATTAAGACCACAATCAAAACTTTTTTCTCGGGGTTTATGACATTAAAACAAAGATGATATATATTTTCTCAGCAGGTTCAATGTTATGATAATACCAAGGTAGTATTTTTAACACGCACCGTTGAATTTCTTGTTTCTTATTTAAGTTCCATCAAACAATGTTTAATATGCAAGATTTTGAATGTGATAATGAAACTTTGTTTTGTTAAGTCACTAAGGCATTCCATGCCTCTTTATTTTTGCATTTAAGCCTTAATTTTTTATGAAGCGCTAAACTTAATTTTTTTCTTTATTTTTAAGGTTTCATAAGCTATAATTAAATAAATACACAAACAAAAATAATTTATGCTGTTTAAACTAAAACCTTACAAATTGTATATTATGCATCAAGTTTTATTATTTACTCTAAAATGAATTAGTCAAAAATGACTAATTGTCATAGTGAAAAAGCAGCCACAAATAATTCTCGTCAATATCAATTTGTATCCCAAACATTTAGCAGTCAATTTCCATGTAAAATTGCCCCCGGATCCGAAAATGCCTTTAAAAATTATAAAATTAAAACAGTTTTTGAGATATAGTCAATTTTCCATATAATATGGAATTGAAAAAATCCAATTCGGTGTGTATATTTATTGGTGCAGAATTAACTAATGATTACTTTACCTAATATAATTTCTTATATTCTTATGAATATTACCAGTGATGGGTCAAGAAAGTTTCTTAAAGAAACTAAGAAAATTGAATGTTTAATATAATTTATATTTAAGTTTGGACAATTCTAACAAAAAATAATTGTTGTACATCTAACAAAAAATAATTGTTGTACAAACATAATTGTTGTACAAACATAACCTTAAAATCAAACATATTTATATTTGAGGAGCATCCGTGCAAAACCGGCTAAATCCATTTTATTCAGTTTTTGTTTTTTTTTTAATTTCGCATCTTTGGGTTCATTTCTATCGACAACCAAGACAATTCTGATTAAATACGACTATATCCATGTTAAAATCACATTTAAAAGGTAGCTTTAGGAGCAAAACCGGCCAAATCCACGTTTTTATAGCAAACCCGGCTATATCCAATAAATAATATGTGGCTTGGATATGTCGATACTAATACTAAAATTTGTTCTGTTTATTCATGTTTGCACTAAATTTATTTTGTTAATATTTTTGAATAATAAAGGTTTTTTTCACATTTTATTCGTTTTTTATCCGGTTTTCGAGCAAAACCGGCTATATACAAAAATTTTTTTGAAATTTTGGCCAAAATTTCAAAAGATATATTGTTATATAAAAATATATTATATTATAATATAAAGTTTTTAAAAACGAAAGTATTGTTACCACCTTTTTATGGTGGTGACTTAGGGTCCAGCAAACTAGGGCCCGGCCCGCTAGCTCAAGTGAAGGGAGTGGTTCGACTTAAAATTAAAATGTAGATTATGGGCGCCAGATAATTTTTTGGGGTACCGATTCTCCAGGCCTTCAAACTATCAAACTTCTACTAGTCACTATTCCCGATAACAGGTTTGGAATAAGGCAGCAACAAAATAAAGTGAGAACTATTTACAAAATTTAATAATAAAATATAAGATGTATAAGTGTAAAATTAATAAATATAATATATAAGTATTACTGATTATAGTTAATGCCAATATTCGTATTGTAATGCTTAACAAAAAAATAATTCTGGTAAGTAAGGAAACTTAATTATTAATAATTAGTAATTGTAATTATTCTAATTTGGCATAAATTTGATCAAATTTGTTTACCGCACATAAATTAAAATTTTCTATTCATCAAGTTAATAATTAATTTTAAATAATACAAAATATAATACCTAAACACATCTTAAAAAAACAAAAAAAACCTAATATTAAACTTATTTTTCAGAACTCCTTGTAATAGATATATATTTAACGATCCTACCTCGATTCAAACCTCAACTTGCGGTTGTATGTTGTAACGGTAGAGCTGCAGAAATGATTTATTCTTTTACTCTGTGACGATAGAAATCCATACAAACTGATAGGTGGCAAATGGAAAATAAAATGGAGGTCGCCTTTCAGGGTCCAAAGTTCGCAATTCCAAATAGATTGGAGTTTTCCAGTTAACTTTTACCCAATAAAGGAAAACCAAAAATACATACTAAAATACAATAACAAGTAAGCGTTTGCATGGAAAAAAAAAATTAGAGAACACTTCTTTAAGAGAAAAATTAAATATTAGAGAAACTTACCACGCCAACTTCAATTACAAAATTCAGCAGTTGCGAAAAATCCGGAAAAATCCGTTCAGCTTACTACTACCAATAGTACAATAAACTAGTCGCTGATTACTTGTGAATAGGCATATAAAATCCGCTAATAGCGATGGTTAACTAACAAAACCCAAGTTTAGCCCAACACTGCAACGAACTGAATGACGAACAAAATGGCTCTAGAATCCGCGGGAAAAAAGTAGCTTAGATGGTAACAATATTAACGACACTGAGAAACCTGTAATTACTTAAGTTAAGAATATTACCCATTTAGAAAATTAAGAATATGTATGGTTTACTTAAGTTAAGAATATTACCCATTTAGAAAATTAAGAATATGTACTTCCAAAACATAATAAATAATTGTAATAATTGCTTTATAAATTTATTTTTATTCCCTAAAGAAATCTGCATTGAAGCGTAAGCAGCATTGTAACAATAGGCAAAAAAACGTAAATAAAGTAAAGGTCACTTTATTGTTTATCCATTAGTTATTAATCAATAATACAGATCTCACTACAGGTATTAAATAATAATTGTTTCTAAAGGATATTGTTTAAAATGTGTCAATTTTTAAATTGTAACAGTATGTCTTATAAATCAAGTACCACAAAGCCCACAAAACTCAAGTTTGCTTTTTCTTTTATCTGTAAAGGCCAGGAAACCGAGAGTTTTTGCCATTTTCCCAACATTTTATTAAAGTGGATATAGCCGGTTTTGAACGGATGCTCCTCATTTGAGTCCTCTAAAACAAAGGCGTCGATAAGGGGGGTAATGGGGGTAATTACCCCCCCAAGATAGAAGTCCTAAAAAAATTACTACAAATATAATTTATGAATGCATGTCGCCCTCTATGTATAGTAGGTTCGCAGCAGATTTTAAAAATTTCCGTTAAGAAGCAATTAGTTTAAAAATATTTTCGTGGTTTTGTTAATTAAAAAAAGTAAATACTTATTATGACAACTTCACAAATTCACAAAAGACCACGACGAAATATTATTAGATAGCGTGCATCTGAAAAAACTTATAAAGATAATATGGTGCGAGATATAAATATATGGCGGGAGATTGCAGAAATTATTAATAGAAGCGGTAGTACATGCATACACTTAAAAGAAAACTAAATAAATAAATAAAATAACAATAATTTCCAATTGCGGATTTCCAAGTGCGGACTACGCAGTAGATAGACAGTTCCTTTAAATTAATAATCTCTCGCATCTTGTGCGCATCTCTGATGTACTAAAGTCTATTGATAACATTTTGGATCGTTCTGCAAAAATGAAATAAAGACATTATAATTTTATTATTTGAATTTTATATTTAAAAAGATTTAGGTAAGAATATATGTTTATGTTTATGAGATATTTTTATTATATTTTTTGGTACCTTATAATCCTTTTTCCCAATATACAAAAGCAAATACACAATAGGGCGTTTTGCAATAGCTATTTGTGTATTAAGAGTGTAAAGTGCAACTTTGCGCTTTCTTTTGGAAGCACAAATTTGTACTTTTCGCTTGGTTGTAGAAAAAAATATTTTCATTATATGTTACCCCCCTCCCCAAAAAAAAAAAAAAATCGACGCTCTAAAAAAACGCCGACAAGTGCATTTTAAAATAGTAAACGACAAAATATATCTACAAATTCATGGCACATAATAATACGTTTTTTTTACGGTTGAGTGCTTAATCAACGATTTTAATATTGAATAATACTGTTTGAATTTGGACGACTTACACTTTTCACGTAAATCATCATGAAATAAAATGTTTATTTATTGTATCTAATAGGTACAAGGTATATTTACAGGGACTGTATGCAATTTATTTCTTTATTTGGATTTCCACTGTTTATTGGGAAACCGGTAAAAACTCAACCTAGGATTACCTCTCGAAAAACACGCTTATAGAGCGACAAAATTCCTGCCCAGACATTAAGTTTTTCAGGATACTGGGTATGATTTTCTCTGATGAGGATTTTTATTGCTCCAATGATGACAATTTTGTTTGTTAACATTTCCATTTAGATAAAAAGTACACTCATCGCTAAAGCAAATGTTTTTTAGTATTTGGATCTGATTTGATATTTTATTGGTCATGATTTCACAAAATTTTTATCTGCATCATCATCCTCAAGTTCTTGTGTAATATGCATTTTGAATGGGTGGAATTTTTTATTTAATTTGTTCAATAATGCCAATATATTTAGCGACAAAAATTTCAAAGTAATAAAAGACTATTTAAAAATAGACCGGGAGTTATTTTCTGCATTTAATTTAAAAGGCTATAAATTAAATGCTTTACGCTTTTTTAGTTTATTATACTTTTGTTGAAATTATTTTTGGTTTTGAGAAATTTTTAATATCCTTTTTAGGTCCTGACTTATAGAGCATTGCTTGTTTTTAATTATGTATGTAAATCTACTATTAAATGGCAACCTGTACAGGAAGGTGTGACGGTCGGGATAAGTAAAAAACCTGTCAACTAAATCAACATTAAATTTTATTTTTATTGATGAGTAACATCTAGAAACATGTTTTTAGAATAAACGTGATAAAAAAATTAATAATAAAAATAAAGAAGCTTAGAAATAAAATAATTATACTTTAATAGTATAATACATAATATTATTATGTATCAAGTTTGATAAACGCCATTTTATACACGAATTTAATTTAGGCACGAGCGAGCTTGCGAGCGAGTTCTTAAATTAATGAGTGTATAGAAAGGTTTATAAACGAGGTGCATACTATACTTTTTCTACGACAAATACTTATTATTATCTTAAAATGATTTAAATCAAATATTTTATAGAGCGCCATCTATGAAACAATAGGGAAATCACCGTCAAATGCCAAATTTTATAAAAAGATTATAAAGGTTATAAATCGAATTCTTGAAAATGGACAATTTTTATAGTGAAAGTAAAGAAAATGTTTTATGAGCACTTTACATTGGAGTCCGTGCCCGAATTTAAGTTATAGTTTACTGCCGGCGAAATTAAAAGGTCAGTACAATGTTCATATAAACTTTTCAAATATTGACGTTGTATTTTTGTATTGAGATAATAAAATAATTTTCACATTTAGTATTATTTTACAAGAAAGGCACTTTATTTTAACGATTGTATAACATTTGACAACTGTCAACTATCTTAAAACTTCAGCCCGTAACTAAAAACCTGTTGCTAACTTCAGCCCGTGACTAAAACGCCGTAAAGCCACAACTTGTCAATGTGTATTTAAAAGGTCACTTAGTGTCATGAAAACATGTACGATAATGGTCGTTTTAAAGGTGGGAGTAGAAAAATGATTTAAATAAAAAATTTGTATAGAGCGCCATCTATGAAACAATAGGGGAATCTGTGTGTCAAATTTTTTTATTTTATAAACACAGATTATAAAGGTTATAAATCGAAATGTATTTCTTGAAAATTGACAGTTTTTCACAGTGAAAGTAAAGAAAATGTTTATGAGCACTTTACATTGGAGTCCGTGTCCGAATTTAAGTTATAGTTTACTGCCGGCGAAATTAAAAGGTGAGTACAATGTTCATATAAACTTTTCAAATATTGGCGTTGAGAAACTATTTAATACTTTTGTATTTTTGTATTATTGTATTATGCACTTTATTTTAACGATTGTATGACATTTGACAACTGTCAACTAACTTAAAACTAACTTCAGCCCGTGACTAAAAACCTGTTGCTAACTTCAGCCCGTGACTAAAGCGGCATAAAGCCACAACTTATCAATGTGTATTTAAAAGGTCACTTAGTGTCATGGAACATGTACGATAAAGGGCGTTTTAAAGGTGGGAGTAGAAAAAATATTTTATGTATATATAAACATATGTATTTATGTATACATATGCGATATGCATTCACAGTTAGTGTATAATAAAATAAAATATTAAAAAAATTAATATCCTAAAAATATAAATAAAATTCTGACGAGCAGGTTTAACTAAATATATACAATTAAGATTATTATTGTCTCTTAAAAATGAACTAAAAATATAGATTTCTTTGCACTAAAGCATTAAATTTTTCACTCTTTATAAAAAGCTAGGTTGAGAAAAAACAGGAAGATGTTTTCTTGTGGATGAATCATCTGAATTTTAAATTACACATAGGTGCTAATAAACAGATACAATCTTAATAAAATGCAAATTAAAAAGCCCTTGTTTATGATAAATAATATAATTACCATCGCTGAACCGAAGAGAACCCATTAAAAAATAAAACAAAATCAGATTATAATTTATGTTTGGGATTCTTAGAAGTCTTGACCTTCGTCGCAAAAAAAACATCGTAACGTAAGCAAGAGGAACTCCTTCTTTTCTGGTTCTCAAATTGGCCTGATGCGGCAGCCGATAAAATGCTACCAGCTTATTTTTATTAGACCTTTTGCTTACACGCGGTTCCGTCGAGGTCTTCGGCAAGACGGTCACTAATTGACTTTTTGCCTCGCATTCGAAAACACGGTCTCAAGCAGTAGACGATTCTATTCTTATTACGAGACAAACATGTAACTTGGGAAAGTGAATAATTGGACACTATTTAATTTAATTAGTATTGGCAGTGAAGCGTGTAAAGTTTTAGGAGTTTGTAGTTTTCATTATTTATTGTGTTTGTGTTTATGTGACTATGCTTAATTTATTTTATTTATTTATTTACGTTATTTAATTAGTTTTAACACCCTAAAATGTTCATGGGAATCTCAAGCAAGTTTTCTATGATAATGGCTACTAGCTTGGCAGTATTGGGCATTGTCAATGCCTTGACAATTGACAATCAATTAAACGTTGTCAGAAATGGTAAGTTGATTATATTTATCAAACTAATTTTAAAATGTAAAAGATATAAGGAATTAATACTTAACCCTCCACACTGAATAGGTTGTAAGAAAATAGTATATTATGTATCCAGTTTTATAAACGCCATTTTAGTTACGAGCTTTATTAGACACTAGCGAAGCTTGCGAGGGAGTGTTTAATAAAACAAGTGTCTAGAGAAGTTTAAAAAACGAGTTGCATACTATACTGTATCTACGACAAATACAAAGAATTTAAAGCCAATTTTATTTGTTAAACATTTGACATCTGTCAACTGTCAACGGATTTAACCTTACTTTTCGCAATGTGGGAGTAGATAAAAGTTTATATTATTTCTATTCAAACTTTCTGACACTTTCTTCTAGAAGAACAAACATTTAAGGCCCCTTTAATGAACTAAATGAGGCCTCACCTTGAACAAATCATTTTCTAATTATTTTTACAGTTTTCTTGCATTTTATGTTTTATTCAAACTTCCTTTTATTAATCCAATTAAGCAAAGTTTTTTCATTTTGGCCACTTTTTCTCAAATAAAATAAAATAAATTTAGCAGAAAAATATAATTTAAAATTTAAGCATAAACTTGTATACGATTGACTTTTGGGTATTTCCGCGAAAACTTACGTAAGTAATTATTGACAAAAAATCAGATGTGTTATTTAACAAAACAAAAACTATAGCTAAAGTCAAATAGTTTAATTGCGACGTAATTTATAACCTTAAAATATTCGTACATTTTAATGCTAAGAAGCTAACTTTAAGACTAAAAACGGAAGAGTTTCAATACTCGACAAAAAGTTGAAATGTTACGTTACATTTTAAGAAAATTTTATAAAATAAAGTATACAATATTTGTGCATTTAAAATACGTGCTTGTTTGGGGTAACTATTCAAGAATTACACAAAAATTATTACTATATGCTTTCATCCAAAGTTTTATAGGATCAACTTTCTAATGTCGCTCCCGTTACGCGATTCATGACCACAGATTAATGACGTTATAAAAAGTTTTCTATACAAGATTTTATTGCCATTTTCTTTAAGTTAAATCTAATGTTTCATACTATTTTTGTATATTAACGTATCTGAACAGATACCTTATTATCATGAAAAAACGCAATGCCATAATATAATTATAATACCTTGACATTTTGCTAAAATTTAAAATTTTGATCTCTTAAAATATTAATTTAAGGAAAAAATATGACCATTTTTGTGAAAAACTAAATTTCCTACAAAAAGGTTTTTTTAAAGGGTATTTCCATTGTAACGGGTGCGACACTGGCACTAGGTTTTTTTCATGAAAATATAGTGTCTGTTCAGATATATCAAGATACGTTATATATTATATTTAATTAAATAACATTTATATTAATGTTTTTTCCACCCATTTCATTTGTTATGTACCAAAAAATATTTAAAATATAAACCAACATAATGTTTGCCTTAATTTTAAATTTAAGAGCAGAAAAACATAATTTCATTGAAAATAAAACTTTCAACCAATAACATACTTTAATGTAAGTCTAATTTTTTTCTAGCTCTTAAAATTATTCTCAATACCTCAAAATTGGACTAAATTAATCTTTACTTAAGGGAAAAACAGGTATAGATTAGGTATCAATGCTAATTTTAAACAGAATTTACTTTATTGTGAATTATTGTAGCGGGTTTGAAAAAAAAAATAAAAAAACAAGTAAAGGTTTTTTTATGTTTTTTTTTTAACATGTCCATATTGACATACCAACAAATTAATTTATTTGAATCGCTTTTCTATCTCGTTTCGCGCATGCCAAAAATCACGATGTTTATACATGTATAAACATGTATAAACAGCACAAACATAAGAGGAGTAAAATGCACTTAGCACTTTAAGGCTTCTTTTACGTCTTACAGAGGCACTTGTAAGACGTAAAAGAAGCCTTAAAGTGCTAAGTGCATTTTACTCCTCTTATGTAAAAAATAAACCTTATTCTATCAGGGATGCCTTCAAACTGTCTAATGTCAATTTTAAGGTTAATTTGTGAATCATGGCAAATTAAACTTAAAATTGAAAAAGTTTATTTATTTACATGTCAAAATGTGTTTTTCTTGGTACTTTTAGTTTAGAAAATAGTTATAGAAAAAACTCGCACAAAAAAACAATGATTGTAACTAATTAAATCTATTGGTTAAAACTAAACAACTTAAATACATATAATAACATCTTCATTTACGGTTTAAACTATACATTATAATTGCAATGTATTGTAGATTGTAATCATTGATTATTATGCTACAAGTATCATTTAAACACCATAGGTAAATAAAGATTCATTGATAAGAAAAACTTTATTAGGTGAAGGGTGTAATAATTGAATGTTGTATTTATTTTCTTAACGTTATGACCCACTAACACGTCGACTTATAAAATCTAACAGTAATTTGGCACAGAATATGTTTAAATATAACCCCAGGGGTCTTAATTCAGTGCTACTTTTAATTTTTTTGTTTGCGACGATTTGTTTGAGTAGGTTAAAATAATTATTTTTTTATTTCATTTCTATAAAATTACATAAACATAAAAGTATCATGTAGATAAAATAAACTATAATATACTAATGAGGTATTTTTGCCAATATCCAGATACTTATCTGAGAAATTGTTAATGAAAGTGTAACTGTAAATTTGCGAATAAAATCCTTGATAATGAAAAATGTTAATGAACCAAAAAAGATCGTAAAATAAACCTTCATCTGACATTGCTCGTTTAGGTGTGACGTGTTTGTATTAATCAATAAAGTATTATTATTATTATTATTACTCTATACGTAAATAAAGCAATATTTAGGTAAATAAATTAAAATTGTTCAATACAACAATTAAACAACTTTATTTATTCTAATAGGTAACAATTTAACTTCATTGTTAGGTTTGAAGGTTAAATAAAAAATAATTAAATGATTATATGCTAAAGAAGTATCGTTAGTAGCACCACCAGTCGGCTGTTATCATCGTAACAAAAGTACAACTTTTAATAATCAGCTGTCAAACGCGTGTGTTACAAACGAGTGTTTTTGAGAATAAAGCCGGAAAATGTTAAAAAATATCGAAAAAAAACCGTGGCACGATTTATTGTGTTGTTGGGTATATTTCGAGAGAAAATCCTGGGTTGAGTTTTTATCGCTTTTCCAATAAACAGTGTTAATCCGAATGAAGAAATAAATTTCATACAGGCCCTGTAAATATAAATTGTATCTATTAGATACAATAAATACACATTTTAGTAATAATCGTCAAACAAATAAGGCCCAGTATATTCACCTTCCACTAAATTTACCCAATGCTTAATTGTCATAGTTACAATTGTGTCAACAATGGTAACTATGACAGTTATCGATCTAGTAAATTTAAAGGGAGGTAAATATACTGGCCCTAAGTCGTCTAAATTTAAACAGCATTTAGCATTATTAATAGCGTTGATTAAGAATTCTTTATTTTTCTCCACTCAACGGTAAAATAACATTATGTATTATGTATTATGTTGCCATGAATTTGTTGTTTAAAATGCAGTTGTCGGCGTTTTTTAGAGAACTCAAATATAAAAATGGTTGATTTTAGGGTTATGTTTGTGCAAAAATTACCTTTTACTAATTTCTTAAAAATGTCCAAACTTAAATATAAATTATATTAGGTAAAGTTATCATTGGTTAATTCTGCACCAACAAATGTACTTACCGAATTAAATCCTTTGGCAAAACATGAAAACGCAACGATTTAGTTCCAGAATTTTATTTACAATTAAAAACACAATAATTCACCATGATCCTTTGGATAAAATACACACACTAACGTAACTATATAAGCATTTAAGCGTTGAGTTTCTTAATCAATGATATAAAGAATAATCAATCGAAATCGAGTACTAAACCAGTTTTTTAGTTTTTTCCTTGCAACGTAAAACACAAATAACGTGCGCGATTTAGCTGTGCAATTGAACAAAATTTGTCGAGTAAGACTTCTGCTTTCCTCTCTATTGTAAAAAAACTACCCATTTATTTAAAAATGATGTACAGTTCGTTGCTTTAAATGTATTGTTGACAATTCTTAAATTCACGCAATGCTTTTAAAGTCCTCCAGATGGCACGCGCGTTGCGAAAACCCGATACTTCTTTAGCGTATACCCCAAAATTAAAATTTAACAAAACGATTAATTTCTATTGATATTGTGGTAGTAACTTTACTTCACTTTGTTCTCAATTGTTGCTACTATATGAATGCCACTGAAGACGACCTGGACTTAGTTATTATTAAGAGTAAACAGACAATAATATTGTGATTATTTCCCTCAATATAATATGAACCAATCAAAAGCCTTGAATTTTCGAATAAATTTCGTTTAAATAAGCGATTAAATCACTAGACCTTTTTAACAGCGATTAAATTTTAGCCTCCATATTGGATTTTTGTTTACGATTTTATGGTGTTATTTACAAGTTTTAACAAACATTTAAAAAAAAACAATAAAAAATAAGTTATCTAGTTTACGAAATATCAATTATTACTTATTACATACCTTAAATTAATGGAATTTTCATTAAAAAAATATTTATAAACTTTGACACATACGTCAGATTTTATGAATGGTCAAATAGTTTCCTTTAATTCGAGAAATAATCTAGACGTATATCACTCAACCTATAAATTTAATCTGTCAAACTATGCTCAGTAAGTTTTTTATTTGATTTTTCTTTTTGGAAAATAGTTTCATGCAAAATAATTAAAAATAAAACCCCTCGACCGCTACGCGGTCTCGTGATTTTATTAAATTATTTTGCATTCAACATTTTCCAACAAAAACCAAACAAAAAACTACTGAGCCTAGTTTACCCGATTAAATTCATAGTTCTCGTGATATAATATATGAACAAAACTTGCTTTTATCCCCCTAGCCGTTTTTAGGAGATTAAATTGACGTCAGAAGCTGCCACAAGAGTTGTACAACTTCGCTGGAAGCAAGCAAGGCCTTGACAGTTTAAGAAATTCATCAACGATAGAGGGCACTTTATTCAAATAATGGATTTCTTGACGTTCTGCCTTACAATAGAAAATTAAAAAATAATCGTGGTTAACATTCGCTGGTCGTAGTCGAGCATATTTCTTGTACATTTCTATAGGATTTACAGCATTACTTTCAGATACCACGGGAAACTCTCTACATGGAGTATCTTTTTTAATAATAGTATATTGCATTTATGCAATGTAACTCTTCGCGCCTTCATGTACCACACATGTCAATAAAAAGAGCAAGAGCAAGAAAATAAATAAAAAACAGATGCATGTTTTTAAAGTATGATTTTAAACTTACTTTGATTAATAAATACTTTTCGTTGTCTGCGTGTCAAAACTTTTGACCGTAGATAAAATAGGCTTTTGACTTTGTGGGCTCGTAGACCACTAAATTTCGCTTTAAAAAAGCTGAGAATTTTCTTCGACCCACAATCCACACAACAAGGTCTGTTTTATTGCGTTTCGCGCATACTAAAAATCATGAAGTTAGGCCACCACCTGTACATACTTTAACGAAGGCTATTTTTATGTTGATAACAATTATTATGCTTCGGGTTTGTGCTGTTTATACAGATTAATATTCGTTTTAAATGTTGTGTTTTGGGTATACCCGCTAACCATAAATGTATTTCCTAAATTAATGCGAACAGGTTTAAGGCTCTGCTAAAAAATTGATTTTTTTGACATATCCCCTAATGCCTTTTACCCACAGAATTTATAGAATTTTTTTACAAAAAAGGAGTAATATGGTTGTTCTTAGCACTTTAAGGCATCATTTGAGGCTTACGTGCTTCTGTAAGAAACACAACGTTTAAAAGGATTTTTAATGTGTATATTATACACTGTATAAATAGCACAAACCCAAAGCACATGAATTCTAAACAAAATAGATTAGATTAGATTAGATTTTGTAGTGGGTTGCCTAACGAAACAAAATAGAAAAGACCCGTGTGGAAATTGCTTTGACCGACAAGACAGCTATATCAAATATATTTCAAATATACTTACCAAAACAATTGGTTTTACTTCTTGCCACTGTAATAGAAAAATAGTTATAATAATAATTAACATAAGTTTTAAATTATTATTATTATTATTATTATTACATGTAAAAACTAGCGGCACTTATCTTTTTTTCCTTTTCATAAATTTTATGAGTTTTCACTGGACCTAAATCAAACACTTTTTCATTCGCTTTATAAATGAGGACCCTAGAAGCCAAGGGATACAAATGACATTTAAAAAAAAATTTAGTTATGTACAGAAAAAAAAAGTAAAGGGTACATTTTACTTGGTATCCAAGGGATATATCTGAATTCTAACAAAGTCATAAAAGAACATACAATTTTTACTCCAAATAAATAATAATAAAAATAATAAATACATATTTCTAAAAAAAATACAAATTATGTATTCAAGTAATATTTTGCTTTACAAAAAATTAAACTCCTTGTACAATAATTCAAAGAATTTAAAATATGTTGTTTTTACATATATGTAAAAAGGTAAATGGGTATACCTAGTTTTAAATTGTATTAATTATATATGTCTCAAAAACCATTTTAATTTTCCTAATAGCAAGTTTCTTTTTTTTCAAAGAGCATACCTCGGTTAATTAAAAACATTTTATTTAAACAATATAAAATTTTTAAAAGTGTCTAAATATTTAAAAATAATATTTTTTTTTACTTTTTAGATTGTTATGAGAGAATTGCGATTGGACAAAGACTTAATAAAGATATGGTATACAAAAACTTTACTAGCGTAAATACTGTACTGGCTTGCCAACTGAAATGTACTGAAGAAAGGGACGTCTGTAAATCTTTTAGTTTTGGGTATGTATAATTGTTTTGTAATAGTTTTAATAAAACATGACAAGTTATATTTATATATGTATGTAAATATTTATGTAATGCATTTCGAGAAAAGGGACCTAAGCGTCATATCGCTAATTTTAGAGGAGAAAGGAAAGAACAGACTAGAAGGCTAGACCGAAATGTACGCATACGAGTTTTTTATTAGATTTTTTTCCTACGTTTCTCAAACAATTTTTAAAAATTCCACAGCGTTTTAAAAAACTTAAGATTTCAAACGCTTTGATGACCTTAAAGAGAACTCGTAACGTCAAGAATTGGGAATTAATCCAACATTTGTTTTAAGCACGGTCTTATATACTGCCCTGCTAAGCCAAACCCCTGTATAAACCGTTTTAAGTAATAAAGGACAAAAGAAGATTTTCATTGTTAAAAACAATAAAAATTATGTTTTGTCCTTTATTATTTAATATTGCAAATACAGGGGTTCAGCTTAACACGGCAGTATATAAAACCGTGGTTTCTAGGTTACGTTTAATTTTTAAATCGTTTAAAAATCGAGGTAAAGTATACATCACACGATCATAATCCTAATCTGTCATAATCATAATTTTAGAGGAAAAAGACCAGACAAACTTGCTATATGGCAGCAAAAACTGAGAAGGTTTAAGAACTCGTAACATGCAACATATTAAAAAAAAAATATTTTTTATTTTAGATAATTAAAGAGCATTTTTTAATTAATATCTAAATATCTTATTTTTAGGCGCTATAATGGACATAATATTAATTTGATCATTAAAATAAGGAAATAGTTCTACTTTTTAATTAGTCATGTACAGATTATACCAAATCAAAATTTATTATAATTATATGTTAATCAAGTAAGCCATAACAAAATAAAATTTCTTGGATTAAAAAATTAAATTATATAACTACATTAAACAAGATTTAGGTAAATTAATTAAAATCAATTTAGCCATGCTTACTCATAAGACCTTAAAATAACATAATTTATTAAAACTATAATTTGGGTAAAAAATAATGTATGCGCTAATTAAAATCCACTATCCGTGTGAATATGTATTAATCATCGTCGCTTTTAAATACAAATTAACTTTAAATATGTTTCCAGTGATTAAATACATACAATTGGGATATAAAAAGGCAAGGTTGCATTCATGATTTTTAATTGTTGCTGCTGTAAGTAAAAATGCAATTAATGGTTTATTATTTAAAACCGGTACATACTTATAATTAAATGTAATAAAATTTTCAAAGAATCATAATTTTCTATACAGAGTGTTCATGAATGATGAGGTGATTCTAAAAGTGATTTAAGAAACGATTCCATATCAGTTTTTTTAATATAACTTTTAAATATTTTATTGTAATTTAGCTACTTAGTTTTATTGTATAAAAAAATCATATAAACAAAAAATAAGTTATATTAGGTCTTTGATAGCAATTTTTATCCTGTAATAACTCAAGCTTACAAAGCAATGATGTTGTTTCCTACATAGGCAACTTACAATACATGTGTATACATTCATTGACTAGTTAACTTTGTTTTTAGAATTGGACCTAAAGGAAACTCTACGTGTGAAATAAGCACAGACGTGATCAAAGAGACAGTTGATTTTAAACCTATAGGAACTGTGGCAGATGTGGATTTTGACTTGTACATTAAAAAACTAGGTTGTAAAGTTGTCTTAGATACATCACCGCATTTTATAGGATCTAAACCTCATTTACCACCTGAGGAAGACCATCAAGATCATCACCAACATCATCATGAATCACCAAATTCCATCCCACAGAAACCTGATAAACCTAGTGGTTATGAAAAACCTGATGATTTGGTTAGTGAGTCGAATAATTATTACAACAGACCTGCTAGTAGACCTTCGGATGGTTATGGCGATCGGCCGTCGAGTGGTTATAAGTACGATAAACCAAATAGTAACCAACCTTCTTACAATGTTCCTAGCAAACCAACTTATGGTGATCAATCTGAAAAAGTACAAACCCTAGTAAGCATTGCTAGTGGACCCAATACTCACTACGATGCACAACATGGTATAATTGTTGGTGGAGACATATACGATTCTCAAAATAAACCAGCACATCATCAAGACAGTTATATTGGAAATATGCCACCTTTCAGACCATCATCGCTGAATCACCCTTATGATACTGATAGATATGATAATAAACCTACAAGTATTTTATTAATAGGAAGTTATGATAGACCAAACCGCTATGGCGAACCCTATAGACCCTCTAGTGGTTATGATCACGACGAAAGACCATCAAGACCATACGATGATCGCCCTATAAGACCAAATAATAATTATTTAGATCGTCCTTATGACGACCGATATGATAGACCTATAAGACCTGAAAGACCACAAAGACCACACAATGAAAAACCCCCTTTAGATGGTTACGATGACAGACCAAGACCACCAAGGCCAAATTTAGACTATGATAACAAACCAAGACCAATATCTGAGTATGAAAAACCAACAAGACCATATGATGACAAACCTAGACCTTCTTCAAATGGTTATGATAGTAGACCACCAAGACCAAATTTAGACTACGATAACAAGCCAAGACCAATACAAGAAAGACCAAGTGGTAGTTATGATTTAGTTCACGAAAGACCAGAAAGGCCACCAAGTGGGGGTTATGATACAAGGCCACCAAGACCAAGTTTAGACTATAACAAACCAAGACCGCCTTCAGATGGTTATGATAGTAGACCACCAAGACCAAATTTAGACTACGATAACAAACCAAGACCAATACCAGAACGACCAAGTGGTGGTTATGATTTAGTCCACGAAAGACCAAAAAGGCCTCTAAGTGAAGGATATGATACAAGACCTTCGAGGCCAGAAAGGCTACCAAGTGGGGGTTATGATACAAGACCACCAAGCCCAGAAAGACCAAGTGGGGGTTACTACTCCAGACCACCACCTGACTACGAAAGACCAGACAGACCACCACCAAGTGGTGGTTATGATTCGAGGCCTCCAAGACCAAATTTGGATCCGTATGATGATAAACCACGTCCTGTTTACAACGAAAGACCTCTACCGGATAGATATGGTGAAAGACCACATAGTAGTTCCTATGGTGATAGACCAATAAGACCACAGGGTGGTTATGATAGACATGATATTGATCGATATGATGATAGAAGACCATTTGATAGGTAAATATAGTTAATATCAAAATTATCAAATAATAAACATGCATTCTTCAAATAAAAATAAATATTATTGGTATAAAAAATAGATCTAAATGATTTTTATTAATTAGTAAGTTGTAGACTAAACTACGTATGTATTGTTTCAGGTAATATATCATCTTCAAGTTTTCCATCAATAATATTTAATTTTTTTTTAATTGTTCATTCATTAGACTGATCTTTAGTGATATTTTTGTACCCGATTTTTTAATAAAATACTAAATAATATGTTACTTTTTGTTTTTATCTAATTAATATAAACAATATGTTGCACTATCATCATCATAGAAAATATTTTTTTACATAATGAAAAAAAAACAAAAATTTCTAGGTATGAAGATAGACCTTATCGTCCCTTTAGACCAGAGCCAGATTACTTTCATATTTCGCTGCCATACGATCCTCATCCCATAAAACCATTACCTGATCGTTATGGTTCCCTTATAACTCACCCAGATAATTACAATAGACGACAAGACCACGATTACATGTTCAAACCAGATCCTTATGAACCAAGACCTGCACCGGCTCCTAAACCAACATCAGAAAAAGAAAAGCCAGGTTACGATAAAAAATCTACCAGTACAATTAAGGAAAATTATGAAAATAAAACGAGTGTTATTAGTAAACCTTTTAATGGGTCGCATGGTGTTTTAGATAAGGGATATAATGGAAAAGTACCTTCTGAAAGCAAGGGAAATTCAGAATATGGGCTAAATGGTAACTCGATAGTGACGCAGAGTGTTGGGTATAATGGAGAATCGATTACTTCGATAATTACAGAGATTAAAGATGGTAAGTCGTTTTCATAATTAATTATATTTGGTTTACAAAATCGGTCCGAGTATTTTGAACCGATATTTTTTAATCGTTTGTTGTTTTGCAAAAATTGTAAATTAAACAAAGTTGTAAGTGACAAATTAAATAGTAATTGTACACTGGGTATAATATTTTAAAATTCCAAAAGATCATAGTACAGTGACATTAAAAAAATGGAATATAGTTACTGTCCGTTTAGGCTAAGTTGAGCGGTCTAAGGAATGTCACCCCGTCCATCATCTCTATGTTCAAGCACAATTAAATACATGTATTTCGGTAGCCACTCTGTATGAACAAACGGCAAGCCGCGGCACTGATAAATCATCTTTTTGTTACCGAAATCTCGCGACAAGTCGATGTTTAATTTAATTAACGGCCACATGATCCCCCACCAAAGCGCTCAAGTTAGCCTAAACGGACTGTACTTGGTAGCCTAGTTATAACTTAATTTAAGCTTGTAAAGGTTAAAAAACAAATTTATTACACTAGTCATAACTTAACTTATGTCATAATACAACAAACAATTTTGACTTTCAATAACAATAACAATAACTTTGAACATAATCTAAAAATTATTATACCTACCCCTACTTCTAGGGGCATCATAAGGATCAGCGCAATCAATAACAAACGTAATTATTATTTTGTCAAATTTTTGGTATTTATGTAGAACGTTCAAACAATTCAAAATGTAAAATTTATTTTTGATAACGTTTATCTCAGTAAGAAAGCATTTTAGGACGTTTATGTACTTTTTTCTTCCAATATCGTAAGAAATTGCAGCCTAAAATTACTCACCCATACTTTATGTTAAAAAATTGTTTTTATCTATTTTACGTTCATAATGACTTTATTATAACACCGCTTTCGGTGCTTTAATGAGATACTTTATCCCACCCAAAATTTTGATTTTATAGGTTGGCTATACTTTAAACAGCATAATATTTTGCATATGGGTTAAAATATTTGTATGATTTTCCTACTACTTACAAGACTTTTCTGGCAATAAATTTTGTTTAAAACCAAAGAAAAACATTTTTTTTCTTCTTTAACATTAACAGCAGCTTATTGTAAATAAGTAAATTAAGGACGGCATGGCGAATCGATTTTGATATTAACTGTCAAACCAATGACTATGATACCAACTATTTAAAGTAAAATTCGACCAAATTAAATTTAAGGTACCTGTAAAATTAATTTTTTTTATAGAATTTTTGAAAAATAGATAAAATAAAATAAAGAACTCATGTCATAAGACCTTTTGTCGCACTCGTCCATTACAAAACTCGCTCCTTCGTCGCTCGATAAAATTGGAGATAAAATGACGTCTTATGACATTAGTTCTTTAATATACTATTGTAAATAATTTCGCTTTTTTTAATGATGCAACAAATTTAAATTTTAATACAGTTTCCGGCAAAAAAACAGGCACCAGAAATCGGCCTTAATTTAAATGTAGGTAATTCTTAGTAACGATGCTATGGTAAACATTTTTATTTTGATTATTATTTAAGCATACACAGGGTGCAAAAGTAGAAATTACAGTAAAAATCATAAAACAAATATATCGTCTAAATTCAAACAGCATTTAGCATTATTAAAAGCGTTAATTAAGAAAGTCTCCACTCAACGGTAAAATTCCAAGAACCGGTTTTTTATTATGTATTATATGTAATTAAGGGTTTTTCATTAAGAGCGACGCATTTTGTTTTTTTTAATTAAAAGACTATAATTATAATTTTAAATAAAAGTACATTCGATGCCTTTAGTTATCGATTACGGCATCGTTCAAATGTCCACCGCTGGACCCAATTTTCCATGACTCGAGCACACAAAACGGCCGAAATACCAGACATTTTGCGTTCAATGTTGGCCTGCAATTCTTCTAACGTTGCTGGCATGTTGGCATAGATCAGCGATTTAATGTAACCATAAAGAAAAAAGTCTAAAAGGGATAAATCGCACGAATACGGCGGCCAATCGCGAGGTCCGTTGCGTCGACCGAAAATTGGCGTAAGCTCACGGAACGTAGTCGCAATAGAACGTGAACTTTGATAAAAAAAGTTAAATACTTTGCAAACGTTATTGAAGCGTATATTTTTTCATGATTAAATGACTAGACTGGCGTTTCGAAATGTCAAAGAATTACTAAGCCAACTACACTCCTATTCGAGAAAAACAAAATGCGTCGTCCCCATTGAAAAACCCTTTATTATGTTGCCATGATTTATATGTTCGTAGGTATATTTTGTCGTGCGGAATTTAGCTGTGCAATTAAACAAATTTTGTCGAGTAAGACTTCTTTCTTTTTTCTTTTGTGAAAAAAGTACTTATTTATTTAAACAAGATGTGCAGTTGACAATTATTAAATTCACATAATCAAATACCACCAGATGGCGCGCGCGTTGTGAAAACCTGATGAGTCTTTAGCGTTTTATTTGGATTGACATTTTTTATAGTTATTTTGGACGGTTTAAAAAATTTTTTTTTACTTGGACACCCAGTATCTAGGTTTTTATTAACGTTTGAACTAGGTACTGTATATCCAAATGTTTACATTTTGAGATCCGGCCGTTACAAAAATGGGTAAAGTGCATTACTATTTTCTCTAACGGTGGGCCAGGTTGATAAATAAAAAACAGGTTCATCGTTTTATCGGCTGTTGAGATCTCCAAGTAAATGTTTGTATTTACTTTTTAACAATAAATAAATTTATAAAGCAAGCTAATAGAATATATAAAATAAATAAAAATATAAAAAGTATTTTAAAAATAAAAATAAAATAGGATCATATTCATACAAACATTTAGTAGCATTTAGCAGGATAAAACAGGATTTTATTTATACAAATATTTGATACTTAGGTACTCTTAAACATAATTATCAAATAACTTATCTTAGATTTTATCTTAAAACTACTATTTTAGTAGGTTGTAATTAATCCAACAAATTACTTTTATTTCATGGCTTTAAGAAAACTACGTCGCCTTGTGGATAATCCATGATAATAATCGCGTTTATCGTTAATAATCACCAGTGTATTACATAACCTAACAAGACCTTTATCTTGTTTTCTTGTTATGTAGCCCCAAATTACCTTTGCGTGTTAACTAAAGGTATACTACATTAAACTGAGGATAATTTTGGATTTAAACCAATATTTTTAATTTTCAAACTAAGAATTAAAAAAATGCTGAGACCGGACTTTTAGGCACAAAAAATTGAAGAAAAGGCAGGTAAAAAAGGCTAAATATGCCAAAAAGGGCAAAATAAAGATATTCAATATTAAAAAATATTTTCGTTTTAAAGCCAAAAAAAGTCAAAGCTATAGTTGGTGTAAATTGCACTTATAATGCCCAAAACATTTTATCATTTATAATAGGCATTTTGCATAGAATCCGGTCTCTACTCAATACATTTTATGTAGATTAAGTATTGGCCATAATTCTTGGAACCACTGTAAAAAAATCTAACTCTAAAACGCCTTTATTATTCTTCATGAAATTTTGGATAAATATACTTCAACTTATATCTCAGTTTACGTGTTTGAGGGTTTTTCGAGAAAATATTTTTAAAGTCCTTTTATTAAATAATGAAAAAACGTTCGAAAAATAACTTTTAGGGAATTTTTTTTAAGTAAATAAAAAATATGCTGTTAAAGACCGTATTTTTGTTAGTATACCCTAAAAATTTTGTACAAATTAAACGAACAGTAACGGATACGGCGCTTCAAAGTCGGTAAAAATGGCCCTTTTTTGATTATTTTGCCGAAAAGTGGTCATTTTTTACGACTTTGAATCGCTGTATCTTCGTTACTGTTCATTTGATTTGTACAAAATTTTCAGGGTATACTAACAAAAATCTTTAACTGCATATTTTAAAAATATTTTTTCGAAAAACCCTCGAAATCGTAAACTGAAATATAAGTTGAAGTATTTTTATCAAAAATTGCATAAAGAATAATAAAGGCGTTTTAGAGTTAGATTTTTTACAGTGCACTGTGGTCCAAGAATTATGGCCAATACTGTATGTATTTTTCTATAAGTATACTTATGCATATATGCTTTTTAATTTTTATTTTTTTTCCTTTTATTTTATGGTTATACAGGGGGGCCCAGAAAATTTTAAAAATGTAAAAATTAATTAATTAAAATTTAAAGTACAAAAAAAACTGCTAAAAAACTACTTCTTAAAAAAAAGTATTTTTTATAATTAATACAGGGTGTTATGTAATTAATGTTATATATTAAAATACTGAATACCTTTTGACATAAGGTGTAATGGAAACATATTTTAAAATACATTTTCCCAAAGATAAAGAAAATATATGCATTAGAAGATTTTTATATTTTTTGTGATACGCCAATGGTTACACACTTGTGTTCTGTGAGTACATAGATACAAACCAACAAAGTAGCTGCGCGTTGCCAGTTGTAAAAAAATTGTTACTAAAAAATTTTCTTGCAAAAAATAAATAAAAACTCAATAAATACGAAAGTTTTATGCCCTTAAAGCTCTAATACCATTCTGTATTTATTTACTCATCCATGGATGCTGCAGCTATTAACTTAAGCAATGATAAGAAAAATTAGTACCTATTTAAAAACTCCATAAATTAACTTTTTCATCGTTTTTTTTTTCTGTTTACTCAGATGAAATCGTTAAACATTCAATTTGTGTAAATAAATCCAAACTCCCAAAATCACTTCCCTTAGTTAAGATATTTACAATTTGAGCACATAACCTACAATTTTTTGACAGAATGTTACCAACCATAACATAATAAATTAAATTAAACCAAAGTAAATTAACTCAAAGTAAAGTAAATCATTTCGAATTATGAATAAATTTTAAATCTGGTGTGTCTAAGTTTAAATATATTTTTTATAAGTATGTTTTTAAATCACAATGTTAAACGATTTTTAAAAAATCATTAGTTTACAAAGTCTTACAAGGTCTAATTCTAAAATCTAGCG